TTAAATTGCAAGTGTCTGCTATCAAACGACATAACTTATCTTTGCTCTTTGCAACACAAACAGAGAATGCACGGTTTAGTTTTAAACAGGAGTGAAATGTTACAATTCACTCCATAGTCTGGGTTAGTTCTTCTAACATATGTTGGGGTGAGATGTAACATTATGAGATCCACAGGGGTGATGTTTTTAACACTAACTTTTCAATATAACTGATGTGTGTGTCTGTAACTCTTAGTCATAGTAATTGACCATTACACATTTAACTTGAACACAAAACTTTGTTCATGGGTAAACTTGTTTGTTACTGTTAGTCATAGTATTGGCCATAATAAAATTGAAATTGAACATTCTCTGTGTGTTACTTTTAAGTTTGTTACTCTAACTCATAGTAATTGACCATAATAAATTGAAATTAAACACTTGAACATTGTGTTGGTGAACGTTTGTTACTGCCAGTTATAGTATCAGCCATAATAAAATTTAAATTGAACGTGTGTGTATGTGTGTGTGTGTTTGTGTGTGTGACGGGTGTAAGGTGTTAAGGGTTGGCTTGTAACGTTTGATTGTTGTTACAACTAACCCAGAGTCATGTGTACTAGCTCACCTTACAGCTAACAGGCAAAACTTTAGCAGGCAAAAAAATAGAACTAACAACTTGAAAATAGCTTGAAAATATCTACACAGACAAACAATAAACATTTTAATTTGATGAGTTTAAATATAAAGCAGAAATTCCCATGACAAAAATAAACAAAGTAAAAAAAAGTAACGTATACCTAAAAATTGTTTTTTCCACTCTAACATCTGCAGTGTTATCCACAGGGCTCTACTTTATTACATGTGGAATAAGGACTAAAGTGAGCATGTACGAAGTGAATCAGGGGATTTGTAACTAGTTCCTGATTGGAGAGATTGGAATTGTTACAACTGACCCATGTTACAACCATCCCTGGTTTCCCCCAAGCCTGTTGTACCGAACCCCATCCATAAGATGGCCAAAAATGTACTGATGAGTTTTATTACGTTTTAATTCACACAAAAGATGAAGCATCAGTTTTCACTCCAGAAAATCACCGCAAGAGCTGAATAAAACACAGTACTGTACACAGTAGTGCGTATTAAAGTCTAATCCATAATCTCTCTCTCTCTCTCGCATTATCAACAACATACACAGTGAATTACACAAAAACACTTGTTACAACTAACAGTAAACAAATACAAACCTTTTTAGGGGTGCTTAATAAACAGATTATTTTATTTTATTTCAGAAACTTTATATCTGTAAAACAACTCCTATGAACTGTAATAAAGTGTGTGCTGTCCCTTCCATTACTCAAATAGCTAACGATACAAATATAATAAAAAAAAAACCTTTAAAGCCATTCAAATGTTGACATATCTTACTAAGATGTGATAGTTTATACTCTCAGAAATGGACCATGGTGAACATTTAAAGAGTTTGTGAATCCTGGTTTAGCAGAGAGGGAAAGGTCTCCAAGAAGCAGCAGCGAAATGTAACAAAATGACTGACCTGTTCAGGTCAGTTCTTTAAAGGGATACTCCACTTTTTTTGGAAATAGGCTCATTTTACAACTCCCCCAGAGTTAATCTGTTGAGTTTTACCGTTTTTGAATCCATTCAGCTGATCTCAAGTCACTTTTAGCATAGCTTAGCATACATCATTGAAGGGCACAAGACAATTAACATTTTTCCCAAAAAAATTACCAAAGTGTTTCAATATTTTTCCCACTTAAAACTTGACTCTTCTGTAGTTACATCGTGCACTAAGACAGACGGAAAATGTAAAGATGTGCGATTTTCTAGGCTGATATGCAGGGAACTATACTCTCATTCCTGCATAATAATCAAGAAACTTTACTGCCGTACCATGAATGCAGCAGGCGTGATGACTACACAAACTTAGTCCCTGGCACTATTTTCAGGAGCTGCGTCATAATATTGGGCCTGCTCTCCGAACCGGAGATCGGCTGAATGGATTCAAAAACAGTAAAACTCAACAGTTTAACTCTGGGGGAGTTGTAAAATGAGCCTATTTCCAAAAAAAAGTGGAGTATCCCTTTTAAATAATTAGTTGTAGTTTCGACAACTCATGTTCCTTTGTCCCTTTAAAGGCATATCAGTTAAAAAGAAAAATCTGCTTAACAGGGTAGGTAGACAAAGTAATAACAGGGGTGGACAAAATAGGTTGGTTGAAAGGTGGTTATAAAGAATGGATGGATTGATGATTTCCTATCCCACACATTCAACCAATTACAAAATTACTTTTATTTGTGGTGGATTTTGATAGGAAACTATCTGTAAAACGTTACCAAAGAATTTGTATACACTACTACAACTTGAAACAAATTACTTTCACAATCACTCTAAATGACCACTGGACAATCTGACCTAAAACCAGCCACTGCACCATGTCTGAGAAAAAAGAAGCTAACCCAGGTTTATCAAATGATGAATTGCATGGGTTTTTAAATTGTGATTTTAAACATTGTTTTTCATCATTTTACTTTTTTTATATCAACAGTGATGTATTAAAGTTGACCACATCAAATGTGTGGATCATTTGAGGGACAAACTAAACATATTTATTAGATTTGATCAAATGAATTTACAGATATACCCAACAATGTAAAAAAGGTGGTGATGGTGGGGGGGGGGGGGGGGGAAATCACATACAGTAAGTATGGTATTTATCATGAAAATTAAGTACGGGCAAGTCTGGGAACATAGGAAAAATTGTGATGTGTGGTGGTTCAAATGTTGTAAACAATTCTCACATTATTTTTTTAATCAAATTTAATATGCTTAGAGTTCAAATGGTATTATTTATGAAGACATTTAAATTTTACAGTCCCACATTTTAAGGCAGTAAGATCAGGATCTTTACTGGGGACACAAAAGGCCCTGAATCCCACAAGACATTGTCCTAATGAAATTGGCTACTTTGAATTTAAAGAAAATACATTTAGATTATGTTTAAACACAATGGTGGTTGTTTTGCAACAAGGTTGAGACAGTTCTGTTTATAACAGTAACACCTGCTGGAGAAGAAGTAACAAAAAAGTACACACATGGAAGAGAGAGAAAGATATCAGGGGAAATGAAGAGAAAGAAAAGGAAAATGGAAGTGATGGTGCATTTCAAGAAAGAACCTTTAATTATTTTGCATGGGCCCAGCCTAAGGATGTTAACCTTTTTTTTATGTGATGGCCATACAAAAATAGGGTTGTCCATGGTTCCAAAACTGTAGTGTATGGCCTGGATGAGAGTGAGATTTCCCAGTCCAGCCCTGGCTGTAACCCACTGTGTTGTGTTGTTAGACATTGAGAAATATATGGCTTTAACATAGGCTTACATCAAACACTGTCCTGGCAAAGTAAACACATCACGACACACTCTTCAAGCAAAATACACATCTGAAGTTCTGAACCCTAAAGAAAGCAAATGATAAAGGATTTCATTTCATCCTTAAAGCCTATATAGGCCTAACACAGCCTAAGCAAGAAATACCAGCTACGTAATGCGTCATGGTTCAGAACTGCCTTCCTACGAACGGCTCAGCTGTCTGTTTGGTACTGCAGTCTGCAACAGAAATTGCTCTCAATTTGTCTTTAACATTTTCCCCATGTATATAAAAGGGTATGCCGTTATAATAAATTTGTTTGAGTCGTTACCATCCGTTGCCGTTCTACCATTCAGTGCTCTGTGATTCTGTCCAGCGTTACATAGCAACTAACAAGGTGCACATCACGTGAGAAAATAGTCTTCCAACTTAAAACATTCTGAGATTGTAAGAGTGCAAGATAAATCCGTTTTTAAAACAACCACGTCGCTGCCTGCACAACAGACAGTAGCAGCTAATCATTTTTATTTAAACGTACAATTTCTCTTCGGTACTACTCTACTCCTTATTTAAAGATAGGCTACTCGATTTATAGGCTTCTTCAGGGGCTGAAAAATGTGACACAGACTACTTTGCTCGCTATATTGATTTTAACGAAATACCGGGGAAAATACATACATACAGTGCATTTCTCCGTCCTCCCTTTCCCTTCTCAATCCCTCTTCCAGGCCAGCGGGAGAAGGCTACAACAACCGGCTCGGCCAATGTTGTTAGAAACCAGAAAGAAAGGAAAACAAAAGACAACGCAAAAATCCGAGGACATTAAATTCCGTAGGGGCTCTTTGATTGTGGCTTGACAGACTTGCAGTTTGCAAGAGGTAGCTAATATTGTCAGACGCAACTTACTGATCTCGCGTTAGTATGGAAAGGGCTGGGAAAATCCACCGACGGCTAAACATATCCAAACAAAGAAATGTCCTTTCTTGGAGGCCAGTCGTTTCCGTGCGGGAAAAAAGGCTTGTTTTAGTGTCTTCCTCCGGCCAAAGCACGTTGGTTTCAGTCAAGTATAATGCCCTTTGTTGTGGCCATAAAATGCCATCGTGTGCCGACAGCATGCAGCGATGCTTTAACACTAGTGAGACACAACATACAGTTTTTCGTAGCCAAATCTCGAGCTATATGGGCCACGCATGTCTTTAAATGTTAAGAAATATATGTACGTATAGGTGAAAGTGGTTGTCCAAGGCTCCCAATGATGGCGGTCCGTCCGCCCGAACCCAACTCTGAGTCTGCCCCTTTTCGCTCTCCTTTTTTGTGGATAAAAGAGGGTTAGACAGCCGAGACTCGCCCAGTGGCGCATGGACAACAGCACAGCGCTGAGCCAATTACAAGCAAGTACACCGCGCGCGCACGCGGAGGCAGGCCCGACCTAAAGGAGAAGCATCATCCTTTCATGGACAGATAGTGATTGATGTTGTTGCAGATTATTGTGATCGTATAAAAAATAAATAAATAAATAACTACGTGACGCAGTATATCAAACAATTTCACACTCAGTTTTTGACATCGGCGATACTCACTTTATTACCTATACATTTATGAGACATTATGTGCAAAATTATGACGTGATTTCCACAAATCAGACCACTATTTTTTTAATGCCATTTTTGTGATTGTGTACATAGGCTCTTGTCAATTAAAAGTAACAATATTCATTGAAAAGTTGTTGAGATCAAAAGTGATCATGAAAGGGTCAGTCCATCCTTGGTGAATATATTGAGATTACCTGAAAAAAATAAAAATAAATAAAGCATCAGAAGAAGAACTGTGATTTTGATTACTGAATATATCTGAGAGAGAGAGGGGGTAGGTTTTGGGTTAGGAGATAGAATAGTTTGTACAGTCTAAAATCATTACGTCTATGGAATGTCCATATAAAACATGAAAACCCAATGTGTGTGTTTTATCTTTTATTATTTTTACAGTTTGACTGTTGTGTGTGCCTTACTTAGCAGATGACTTGTTTCCACAGTTGAGCTTTTTGCCTGCCAAAAAAGATAACATAACACAAGGATAGTATGTTTAATGGTAATCTTTATTATAATGTATTGCATAAATCTAGACATACTCACTGAATATGATAGCTATGCCCAAACAGAACAAAACAGCTGCAAATATCAGCCCACCTCTTCTGATTAACTCATAATCTGGCATAAGCACACACATAGTTACACACATGATAACATCTATTTGAAATATCTATTAAAAGTAATCCAAAACAAAAGTCAACTTTAAAATGTGCAGTAAAATATTCCACAGTAATTTAAAATAGTTAAAGTAACCATCAGACATTCTTACCATAGGTGAAATCAGCATCTGAATAGTCTGAATTTTCTTAAGAGAGAACACACAGTGTATCATGTTAACTTTAAACCTATATAGGCCAAATATTATTCTTACATTCTCTATAATAGATTTTTAAATATTTTCAATGGATAGTTAACCCAAAAATGAAAAAAGAAAGAAGAAAGAAAGTCATGCAGGTTTGGACAGACATGACTGTGAGTAAATTATGGCAGACTATTCATTTATGAGTCAACTATCCTTTTAATTTGTGTGATATACAACTCCAAAAAAAGTCAGTTCTGATAAATACTGTTTATCAAAATAGTGTATAAAGTTAAATCATACTTACCCACTCCCATTGTTAGCAATGGTGCAGGATCTCAAAGTTTGAGTGAGTTGATAATTCCACAACTGTGCTATATGTTTGAGAGAGTATAAGTGAGAGAGGAGTTTGTGAGTGTACAGGGAGCTCCTTAAACTCTGGAGCGAATGCAAATCAGTAAAACAGGGAGGAGAGAGAGAGAGCGTGCGTGTGCTTCACAAGTAACGACCTTCAAACCCTTTGCTCTGACCTGTCTTATCCAGTAAACTTCAAAACACACACATAAACACAAGCCTTTGGGCCATTTCTTAATATCTAACCACTGAGCAGTGGTGAATATGCCCTTGCAATAGGCTGGAAGGTCACTGAAGCTCATTGAGAAAGAGGCAGACCATGAGAGACCGATTCAATCTCTGAAGGCCAAATAATCTGCTAAGATAAATTAAAACATAAATAAGATGAACTCATGATGCTAACTCCAAATAAAATTACATTTATTGTTTAAAATTATTTATTTAAATACTTTGTGATTTCAGAAGGACTCCAAACAGTCCGTTTATCTGTTCTATTTCAGAGGGTAGTTAAAAATTAATCTGCAATTTTCTAAAGAACAAATAAAAAAAAGTGTAGAATAAATACATAACTAATTACTCCAGTTTCCAGTGGGTGTATTCATAAAACCAACAGATTGCTTCAGCAGTTATCTCTTGTTTTTTAAATAATTGCAAGTGGAAAATAATGACTCTTAAGTCACTCCTCTCTTCTGTTCACATACAGAAAGTGTGTATACTCTTTTTCACTTTAATAAGCTGAAAGATAAAGCTATCAGAAATGGACTAAGTCAGGTATTCTTTGTAAAGTTAATGATTATGACTATGTTAAAAGAACCTGCTAACTTTCAGCTTTTCAGAGAGGAAAGAATTTGTCTTCAAGGATAGTAATTTTAATTTTCAGCAAATGTTGGCTGAAAAGCTCAAATAAAAAGCCATCAAAGCCTACAAACTTTTACACTCATAGTGGAGGACACTTCTGTTAAATATGCAGTTCCACTGTCTGTACAATTAAAAAGGCAGTAAATGTTTTTGTAACATTTTTGATTTTCATTGATTTTCAGTGGACATTACAAAGGAATGTCATATGGTTTTATGATTTGCAGTCTGATGTGAGAAGGAGGAACTTCTCTGAAATGTATGTCTTTCTGTGTCTCACTCACTCCACGGGGTAACTGCTGTTTTGGCAACTGGGCCTATTCTTGCAAGAATAAATACTTCTCTTTTTATTAATTTGACTCTGATTTTCTCTTACGCAGTGATGATGTTTAACACAATTGTTCCACAAGAAAACTCTTTTCATTGCATTTATTCTAGGAAACAGTAGTTGATGACCTCCTCAGAACATAATACACAATATACAATGCATCCAGAGGGAACTGTATTGCTTAAATGCTCTTGTATTTTGTTCCTAAACAGTAATGTAGTCTATGTTTTAATCAAGAACATTTTTATCTCCAGAATAGAATACAATCTTATTTACAAAAGGATTAAAACTCTTTGGATCTTCATAATTTAAATAATAGAATGTTACAGAAATATATTTACTGCATTTTACTGCAATTCTGTGTAAAATGTTGTCAAATCTGTGATGTGTCTGCAGCTGAGTAGAGTTGGCCTATTTGTTTTTCAAGGTCACAGAAGGTCATGGTCGCTCTTGCTGTAATAAGGAAACAGAGAGAAGGATATAAAAGAGAAAAATAAATAAAAGTATGTAAAACTAACACTGTTAGTTAATATCTGTGTATTTTGATATGTGTGTGTGTGTGTGCACTTAAATATGCAAAAGCAGTGTTTTTACCTGCATCTTGCCATATATCCACATTAAAAGTCTCCCGACGTTACTGTAGACCCCTGGACGGTTCTTCTTTCCACAGCCATTTCCCCAACTCGTTACACCTGTGAGATACCACTGATCATCAGCTTTACACACCAATGGACCCCCACTGTCGCCCTGGAGAGAGATCGAAAAGTGAGGAAGAAAAAATGATAGTAAAGCATTAACTAAACATCAAGGGCGTGGGTTTGATGTTGACATTAGAGAGACCCCCGACCCTATATTTTCTATACTCATGATAGACTTTTTGACAAAGGTTTTTTCCAACACACAGCTTCTGAAACTGGACCAGTGATGTTATGGCGAAGTATGTGTTTAAGACCACACGCTCTGTTTAAGACTACTCTGCTTTATATGTTGCTGCACTATGGTAGAAAACTGCCCCCCTACACGAGGGTTCAGGGTTTAAGTTGCCTCCCCCTAATGGCAGGTTCCTTAAGTAGGCAGCTCACTTAAGTTTTCATGAAGTTGTGGCTGCCTTCCCAAATGCTGGGTCCCTAAGCAGGCAGTCCCTTCATGAATCATTGCAATGTACTCCCCCTGATGTGGGTTCCTTAGGCAGGCAGCTCTCTTAGGTCTTGAAGTAGTAGCTGCCTTCCCCATGAGTGGGGTATTTAAGCCATAGACAGTATGAGAAGTGGACAGAGCCATCTCATTTGAACTCGATTGAGACAAGTGAAGCCCATTTTTTAGGACATCCGTTCCTGACGCACAGACTCAAACCGACTCAAACAGAGCTTGATGACGTAGATGTGACGTGAGCAACCCGTCTGTCTTCTATAGTGGCTGTGGCATGAGAAATCTGAATCATTCCCTTCCGAAACTTGCAGAGGTGGAGAGTGTGAGTAGGAGCGGTCCATGAGCTAGGAGCAGGAGAAACTTTTGCTAGGTATTCTGATTAATTATTTTGTCATTTTGCCTCCACGTTTCCCCGATTGCCCGCGAGCTTCTCCTCCTGTCCATACGGTAATCTCTCTGCGACACAGAGTCGCGTGGTTACGCAACCGTTAGCCTACTCTTAAAAAACTGCTTCTACAGGGCCATAACATAAGCTACAAGGTAATGGAGCATTTTATACATTGTCATGTTTCTTTAGAAATAAATAAAGGACAAATGGGGTCTTCCTCGGATGTAAAGTTATTTGCTGTCAAAGTGACGCCAAAATGAACGGGACTCAATGGAAATGCTAACTCAAGTGAAGTTCTGCTACAAGATGGCGGCACCTGGCCGGCTTCCGGTCGATGGATTACCCTTGATTTAAGCAGGCGGCTCCCTCATGAGCCTTTTAAAATGTATTAAGGTTGAAGCTGCTTCCCCCTAATGGTGGGTACTTTAAGCAGACAGCCGCCTCCCCCAGAGTTTGGGGCCTTAAGCAAGCGGCCAATTCACGAACCTTGGCAACACATTAAGGGTTCCTTGAGTAGGCAGCTCCCTTATGCCTTGCGAAGCATGAAGTTTTTGCCAAGGTGTGGCTGGTAGAACGAGTGCACCTTCCACATTATGGGTTTTAAGCAAGGTCCTTCTGAGCTTCTGAGCACTCGTGATCTCCAAGGTAAGGGGAGCTCATGTATGAGCATGTTGCCCCCTTTTGATTATCATGGGCAGCCGCCTCCTTCAAGTTGTTGGCAGACTGCTCCCTTTTTCTAGTATGCTATAAAGTTCAACATTGTAGATGCCTCTCCCTATTGGGATCTTAAGTAAGTCTTGCTCCCTTGTGGCAATGAAGTCGTAGCTGCCTTCCTCAGAGCTGGGGTCCCTTAAGCAGGAGGTTCCTTTATTTAACCAGAGGGAACCGCCCCCCTTTTTGGAGTTTTTTTAATTTCCCGAAACAAACTTTAGCATCACAGGGTCGTAGCTGCCACCCCTATTTGGGTTACAAAGTAGACGACTCCCTTGTAGTAAGCAGTGAAGTAGAAAGAGCCTTTCCCACTCGGGGTCTACCAAAGCAGGCAGTTTCCTTGTGTGGTCGAGCTTGGGTAGAGCTTGAGATGATCCCCAGAAGGGTCTTTTGTGGAGGGTACCCTCCCAGCTATCGGGATACCTTTCTTTAACCTTTTTCCAGCTCAGGCAGACCTTGGTCCACAGCTTTACCACAGCTTTTTATTGTAACTGTTTTTAGTTTCCTCTGGTGGGCATAGTTCCCTTCCTTATTTGTATTTTAGGGTCCTATAGTCTAATCTGCGGATCACAGTCTGGGTGAGCATTGTATTCATTTCGATCGAGGGTATTTCTGTTGAGTTCTTCTCGGCTTCCCAGAAACCCAATCTCTGGCCCTGGTGAGAAGCGACTCTTTACCTGAGAGTTCTCTCTGGTTGAACACTCTTATTTCAGGAGTGCTGGCTGTGCAAGATACTGACCTTAGGTCAGGTAAGCTAGCTTCCTTTTGTATTTCTGAAGCTGCAGCTGTCTCCCACATGCTGTGTTTTACAAGCAGACAGTACCTTCATAAATTTATACCAAGGCCCCCTGATTGCGGGTCCCTTAGGTTATGAATGACAGGTGAAGAAACCACTGTTTTCCTTTGCCAGTATTCCCTTGAAGATAATGTCTCGAATAGAGGCTAGCAATACGCAACCTTCTGCTCCATCTGTCTAAATGAAGAAGGCTTGGAGCTTGGGTGGTAGCCATAGGGAACAATGTAATTTAACTACATTAAGTTAAAGTTAAAGAGGGTAAACTTTATCATTCAGCTGAACTGTACACATATATTAAAACACTTACCGTATGTTCTCATTAAATGCACGTCCTTTAAAGAGAGCATGCCGTTTTCTAATGTGTTTGACTTCTCAGGTAATATATATGACCCATTTCAGATGCATCCAAAATTACAACAAAAGTGGTTGCATATAACATATATTTTAATTATTTGATCAAAATTATTGCTAGGGACAATTCAGTAGCCGCTGGATATTGGTAGGTCCTTACTAAATGACACCCTTGCACATTAAGGATTATAAAGCATTATGCATTGAGCAGTATAAAGTTTAAGCTGCAATATCATATTTTACCAAAGGGTGGCAGTGTTTGCATGCAAAGACAGCAAGCTTCTGAACATGAGAATGTATCTAACCTGGCAGGAGTCTCTCCCTCCGTTAAGATCTCCTGCACACTGCATATTCTCTGTGATACCTCCATGATACACAGTAGATGAGTTACACACAGATGAGACTATCAGGTCTACTTTGACCTCCATCAAAGAAGTGGAACCACTCGCTGCGAACACACATGTTGAGAGAGGCCAGCATTATTAAAAGCCTACATGCAAACCCAGACAACAACAACAAAAAAAAAAATACAAACACAATTACATACCAGCCCCTTGCCGGGTAACTCCAAAGCCAGTAGTCCAGCACTGCTGGGCAGGAGAAAATGTCTGGCCAAACACAGGCAGGCAGATAGGCTGTATATTACCTTTAACAGTGTAGAAACCATGTCAGTGGTCATAAATGCCTTTTGACTTATATTTATGGCAATTTAGCTACAGAATTATATAATTTAAGCTATGACATGCATCATATAATTATACTTGATAAATAAATGTGACTTTATTTGTGTTTGTGTTTGTGTCTGTGTACAAACTCACTGGCAGGTGTATTGAGTTTTAGCAAGGCAATGTCATTGTTTTTTGTCACTGGGTCATACTTCTCATGTAAAATTATTTGCTTTACATAATATGGGCTGGGAAGCCGGAGCTGGGACACCAAACCAATATACACTTTCCAGTTACTAGGCAACTGAGAGTCTCTTGTATCCCTAAGAAAAGGGGAAGAAAGCTCATTCATTCATCTTTTCATCCATCCATCCATCCATATTTTTTTTTAATGTATTCATTAATCTTAATTATAATTACAAGCTACAATATTGTTTCCAACATGTAGACTAGTCATCAAATCTTTATCTATCCATCTAATGTAATGTATACTGACTTGGGGAAGCAGTGAGCAGCGGTAATGATGAAGTCTGGAGCCAACAGAGTTCCTCCACATGTGTGAGACCCTTGGAAATGCAAGCTGGCCTGCCAGGGCCACTGACCGTCAGCAGCCACACTTCCCCCAATGATTCTTGTGGAGACGGGTGGCTTTCCACATTCTGAACAGGGAAAGAACAGGAGGGAAAGGAAGAGGGTGTTTATACTTCATTATCATGTGTCAATAACATGTAGCAACAGTGTATGGGTACTCACTGCTGCAGAGCAAGGACACGGTCTGCTGACCAGGACAGGATGTACTACAATTAAAACAACATTGTTACACACGCAATTGAGACCAAGAGTATTTCTTTATTTCTGTTTTGAGGGGATTTTTTTTTTTTTTTACACCTTTTTGCTTCTAATTACACTGAATTATAAATTTGGTCACTCTTTATTTTAAAGGGTTGTTAGTTCACCCAAAAATGACAATTCTGTCAGTATTTACTCACCCTCATGTTGTTCCAACCCTGTCGGACCTTCATTCATCTTCGGAACACGAATTAAGATATTTTTGATGAAATCTGAGAGCTGGATCACTCCATACTAGTCCATAGGCTTCTTGAGAGATTGAAACTTGCCGGTGTTGTTTTTCGACTACCTGCCAAATTATTACGCCCCTCGTTGAAATTAGTACCTGATTACCTAATACTAACTCCACCCCTAATCCCAACCTCTCCCCAACAACTTATCCTAAACCTACCAATACTAGGGGGGTAATAATTTGGCAGGGGTCAGAATTTGGCACAACATCGGCCTCGAAAATTATTAAAGACATCGTTAAAATAGTCCAAGTGACTACAGTGGCTTAATCTTAAATTTATCAAACAACGAGAATACTTTTTGGGCGCAAAAGTCCCCCAAAATAATGACTCTATTTCAACTATTCATTTCCTTCTCTCTGGGCCTCAAGTCAGGTTACTATAGTTTAACAGCGAATGATCTGTTGTTGTACGTAACACGCATGACACACATGACAAGCGTTGGCCAATAGTGAGCCTACGTGTGATGTAGCTCTACGCTATCACACTACATTAACTGACTAGAGGCCCACAGAGGAGGAAATGAATAGGCCTAGTTGAAATAAAGTTGTTATTTATGTTTGTTTTTGTGCACAAAAAGTATTCTTATAGCTTGATAAAGTTAAGATTGAGCCACTGTAGTCACTTGGACTATTTTAACGATGTCTTTAATAACTTTTCGAGGCCGGCAAGTTTCAACCGCCCAAGAAGCCTATGGACTATAATGGAGGAGTGATCCAGCTCTCAGATTTCATCAAAAATATCTTAATTCGTGTTCCGAAGATGAAGGAAGGTCTTACGGGGTTGGAACAACATGAGGGTGAGTAAATACTGACAGATTTTTTTTTTTTTTTTTCATTTTTGGGTGAAATATCCCTTTAAGGTATCCATGCTACAGTGTAATTATAGATTGAAGTACTGAGTACTAATAATTAACTACATGCACTTACTTTAGGGTTAAGGTGTGGTTTAGGTTAGTTGCATGTAATTAAGAACAATTTACAGTAATTACTCTAGTGACTGCACGTAATGGTGCATTTCAAAATAATTTATGGCATTCTTTGATTGCAGATGGAGAAATTAAGTTTATTCATTCTGTTCACATAGACAAGACAGGAAAAAAAAGAAAATTGTAGCTATACATTTGGTATAGTTATACATTATTCATATGTTTTTATAGCATCTGCTTACGACCCAGAGTTAGGTTAGGGGGTGGACCTAGATGATTACCTTTTTTTTTCTCCCAAAAAACATACGTTGTCATACAAATCACATTTTGTGAATTTCTATGAATTGACAGGTCATAAAATATGTATGTTTTTTCATGAAATTAAGTATAATCTGTTGCTTTTATTTGAAGGCTATTGAAATGTTTGCCTTAATAATTATTATGCCAATATACAATTTATTAGACAGTATTTAAAGAAACGACAGCACATTTATCCAATGGCAAATACAAGTTTTGTAACTGAGTTTTGTAAGGCCATAAAATTAGGTACTTAGCATGAGCATATTAGCATTAAAGGCACTGATTGCCATAACTTTATCTCTCTTTTTTGTTGTTTTTGTTCTCTGTAGGTTATACTATTTTTTTCTGCTTGAACTTTTCTGCTTACATTGGGGGGTTTTTTCAGCAGTGAATTATGCTAGTTTCTGGGTTTTTTATAATAATTTTTTACCTTCTATTAACGCTTTCCTGGATGGTGTTTGTAAACTGACTGTTCATACTTTGAAAGGTGGATGAGTTGGTTAGCAAGAAACCATCTTTATGACTCCTGTGGAGCACATAAAACAAAAAACACACATGAATACAAATTTGAATATTATCTAATGCTTGCCTGTGATTCAAATCCATGCCAGCTTCCATGGTTATTTTCATTGTGAAAACCAGGTTAAATGTAACAAACGAACATACAGTGATAGAGATTTGGGAGATTGAGAGTGTATATTTTATACTTACTTCCTGAAGCCAAGCTGTTGGCAGGTTTGGTCAGCTATGTTTGTATTCCAACCCTCTGCGCAGACTGGAAGGAAGACCCCGGACTTAAAGGTCATGACCTGCAATTCATTAGCTGTCCCAAACCGCACTATAGAAAGATTGAAGGCAAATTAGTGTCAGAATATCAACCATAGGATTTCCACATGAAAAGAGATTTTAAAAAGTCACTTCGTTATAAACATATATTTCTGTATGATTGACACTAACCACAGCGAGATTCATCGCTGCCTTGAGAACAGTCTCTCTTCCCATCACAGTCAACTGATGAAAGGGGGCATGTGTCTGTCTCCTTCGAGCTCTTGGAGAAAGCCCACAGTGTCGGCCCGTAACGGACTGTGCAGGAGTTGAAAACTGAGTTACAAAGACTTGTAAAAATGTACTCATCATGGATGTTACTGTGGTTATGTAAGCGTTAAGCTTTTAGGTGAATACTAAATACAATTCACACAACCAAAACTACAGTATTTGATGTTCTGAATCTGGGAACAACTGTTTTTATGACTACATACGTAAAAATATGTGCTTACCTCCCAGCCATATGGCGATAACAACCAGCACCACTACAAAAGTAGCACCACTAGACCCTCCATAACAACACCTTTTGCTCTTGCAGAGAACTTGCCTTCTCTGTGACGGGACTGCAAAAAGCAAACAAAAATGTCTATTGACAGTCTAAAATTATTTATTGCCTAATTTATTTTTTAATTACTATGTTTAAGACCTATATATGTGTATAGTTAGTGTGTGTTAAGTATTACTTGTCGCTGCTACACGAGGAGCAGATGTTTGAGGTATTGGCTGGGGAATGTGGTACGGCTGGATTTGGTTGGCCGACAATATCTGAAGACTCGGATATGAAGGTGGAGCCGTGTTGTGATTCACCACAGAGTCATATGAGGGTGGAGCCTCAGTCTGTATTCATAAAAATATAAATGATATATTTATAAAAGATATTTAAAAGGGAATACATCTAAAAAATGTGAGCACACTGTGAGCACATCTAAAAATATGTATTCCCTTAAATGCAAGATATTTAAGGGAATACATATCTCTATAAACACTGTTCGCTCTCATCTGTCATCCAATTAAATTCACTGTAAACAACTTTACTGTAAATCAGATTTCAAATAAATTGTTTATACATTTATGATAATTCTTAAATTCAAGGCCCTGTGCTGTCACGATTAGCCACGCACTTCCTGGGTTAACTTGGACTACCTTTCCCATCATACACCGCTTTTCTTTTGAACAAGGACAGATTTTACCTTAAAACAGGCATTCAGGGAGTAATTATTTGTTATAAGTTTAGTAAATGTATTAGACTACCACATTATGTTGTCATAATTTATGTACAATTATAATTAAGCATTTTATGTTCAAATGACCACATTATTGGCCAAATCAATTTTAGAAAATTATTCAAACATTTTTATCCTTATTTCTAGTTAGAATGTGTGTGTGTGTGTGTGTATTTGCGTGCGTGTGTGTGAAACAAATTTGTACTGGGGGATTACCATTGTGAGACATGCCAAAATGCCGATTTTACTTTTTTTGGTCATGCCTGTTCAAATGTGTGACTATGCGATGAACCTGTTGCACATGACAGCATATATTTATGTAAGCCCACTGCCCACATAATTAGCAGGTTATGATACGTACACCTGCATAGCAGCATATTGAGTCCACAGTAACCTGAGCCTATTTTTTTTTTTTTTTTTTTGCCACACATAGTTCACTAAAGCCAGCAGAAAATGTAATATAAACTTTTATGAAGCAACTAAAATACTGAAATTAAATTAATCTCAGCCAGGTCTGACGCATCTTTTTCGGTAACACTTGACCCATTAATACTAATTGTTTTAAATCCTTCCTACATGTACTGTGCTGGACTAACTGGGACTGGTCACAACACTTGCATATTGTTGCCCTATTGTTAGTTTGATTGCTTCTAATTGCTCTCCTCATTTGTAAGTCGCTTTGAATAAAATCGTCTGCTAAATCATGACTAAGTTAGGCTACACCAACAGGCACATAGTCTGACTAAATCCAGATGATTGAAATGTATTGTGTATCTGTTCTCTGTATTTTCATAGAACAATCTGTAATAATTGTTTAATAAATGATACCTTAAATGCTGATTTTAAACTCAGTTTTGTTACTAGGATTTACTTGTGAGGTTTAGAATCTGCCTTTCCTTCTTAAGTTATGTTGCAGATCTTATTCTCTCTGACAGCACCCAGTTGGAACATGTTATTTATAATAGGCTACACACAGTGAATCATTCACTTGGTTGCATAATATGCCTCATTTTATAATTCCTATAGAATATAACTTTTCTGCAACCAATTATAATAATTCTATATGTATAGTTAATTAGTACATGTTACATTGGATACAAGTCAACTAATCCAATTGCTAATTAGGACACATTACCACGACAACTGTAGTGCTATATAGAAGCTAGTCACTATAAGAGAAAAACATTACAGCAACAAGAACATGATACTAATACAAGTGCTCACTCACCCTTTACAACAATACATTGACAAAACAACAAAACCACAGTTACATCAAAAATGGCAACAAAAAGAACTAATCACTAATTAAAAATACAATGGGAAATATTGATATGTTTGTATATATGTTTGCTTTGGAAATATTTTGTTAAGTATTAAAGCATTCATACCTGTCTGTGCTCCATGTGATTATCTGTTAAAATAGATTGGGTAGACTCTACCTGTACTTCAGCGATGTGTTTATTCTCTGTCATGCACCTGCTATAGTGACACAGTACAACTCTAACATCGTCAGAAAAGGACAAACCCTGAGTAACTCATGTCTTCTTCTCCCTCTCTCTTTCTCCTGTTTAACTGGTTTTACAGGCAGCCTTTCAATGTTTCTCAACATGTCCATAGAAACATTGTAGTGCAGATACACACGCAGAGAACAGAATTTTCCATCAACTGCTTTCATCATGAATGAAAGCTAAAAAAAATGGGAAACAGGAAAACATTGCTTAATTGATGGTATCAGATTATGATTCGCATCACACAAGTATGTTTACCCATATTTCACATTTCATACAATAACTCACACAACTTGAATGAAGAATGAAGGCAAGATAATGTGAGGGTTGAATATATTAAGACTGACAGTGCAAAGATATGAATAATCACAGAATAATGGCACATGCACATACACACATAAGCACGGTCACAAACAAGTCAAGCCACTTATACAATCAAAAGCTTGTTTCAAATCAGTTTTACAGGATACCAGGAAAATAGTGCAACAAAGTTTGTTTCAAGAAGAAAATAGCATCACAGTCCTGCTTAAGTAAGTTCAGTGATGGTTCATATTTGTTGTAAAAAGTTATTAATTTAGTTCATTTATATATAGCCGCTCTGGAGAAAAGTGCAATGTCATTGTCCAGTTCTTACATAATGGTGTCAATGTAGGCAGATCAAAAATTTTGTTGAATATTAGATTAAATTTCCCCAACAAAGGAAGCCAAAGTGACAAAAAATAACAATATAACATTTATACACATTTATATATAACATTTATTCACATTTATAAATCCACTCAAAAATGGTAAATATGCAAATATGCATGTCTGACATATTTAAAGGTGTCTATTAGATGACAAACAAACAACAGCGCCTGCCATTTAAGGTATTTAAATCATACTGACAATTTCTAATTAAGCTATCTGAACTCAATGTAAAGAATTTTAGGAGTTTGAGAAGTATATTTAACCCTGATTTAAACGTAGCTTTAAATTCGGAATAGCATAGCCTAGCCCTAGCTTACTACTATTTCTGCCATATAGGCTATGTATGCTAGCAAGTAGCAAGTATATTAGTATGCAGTTCTGAACAGTCCCATCCAACCTGTCTCTGACTAATAATTAGTTAATGCAGATCAGCTGATTGATGGTGATAACTAGTCCCAAACACTGCTGGTTTCTAGTGAGCTGGCAGTCAGTTTAATGTTAGGAAACCTGGTGAGAGTCACTAATTATAACGCTAGGAAACAAACAACAGTTTAAGCACACATACTAACCTGTTTGTAATGTATTTATAGAAAATAGTTAGTGTTAATTAGCAAAGTCTCATTCAACACTAAAGAAAGGACTACAAATCCGTATTAAATTAGGACCGGTGAACTCCACTGATTCGGCTAGATTTCTTTCTATCGGTCTTTCTTCTCCCAGTTTCTCATGGCCCTGAAGCTGAAACGAAGGCGAGAATTAAGCACGCTGAGGACAGAGGAGAGCAGAGCTCGTTGGAGATTGACCATCATAACTGTCTGCTGTGTGCTTGTCATACTGGCATCCTTGATAGTGGGGTTGTACTTTAGTAAGAATCTGTTGCCATGCCTTTCTGCTTTATCTCTTTTCTTTATTTTTCCTCTATTGTACCTAATGCTATATGACAATCTTTTCCTTACTTTGACTGCTAAATATAAAAGTGCCTTCTCTGTTTGCAGCCATTAGGACCGTGAATAGCAAGTTTTTCTTCTGCTCTGGCTCAATGAGGTTCATTTCAATAGAGAAGTCATGTGATGGCAAGGCTGACTGCTCAGGTGGTGAGGACGAGATCGCATGTGTATCCAAACTGCGGACCAATGGCACGTATCCAGGTGATTGATTGACATATAGACACTCTTAAAAATAAAGGTTGTTTTTGTTGCAGTTAATGCCTAGAACAACCATTTGGGATCCCCTAATAACCTTTCAGTGATGGTTCTTAAAATAATCATATTTCTTAATATGAAAATTGACGTCTTCGTGGCGCTAGATAAAGAACCTTTATTTTTACATCACTTTTGAGAGATTTTTACTGTTTACTTCAGTATACTAGAGATCCATATGTAGGAGAACATGTGACTTATCTGTATTTACCAATGTAGTGAGGCTGATGGGGGATAGACTGGTCCTGCAGGTGTTCATCAATGAGGGTGGCTGGAGAACAGTGTGTGCTGAGAACTGGAGAACGAAGCACACACGCTTAACCTGTCAAAAACTGGGCTATACAGCGTAAGCAGAGCACATGCATGGCACAATGGTTATTAATTGATGGTCAGTAGTGAATAAAGCTGTTAAACCTCAGGCAAAGCAAAATATCTCACTACATTACAGGAGTCCGCGAAGTACACGAGTCCCGGTGAAGAGTCTGCTCTTCAACCCTAACAATGCATTTGCTACAGTAAGCAATGACTCAACAAGCTCTGACATCCAGAGTTTCCTCTCAGTCAGGTGAGATACACTGAGTAAAGTCATTTGTGACAATTCTATTTGGGAAATCACGTTCCATTTACATGCAGTATAGAAATAATTAAGCTCTCCCTCACAGCGATAAATGTTCAGCTGGCTCAGTGGTGTCTGTGTCCTGCTCAGGTAAGACTGACTGGAGTGTGTGTGTTTGTGGATCAGGTTTCGTATACTAAAGGGTTAGGCAAAATTCAGAATATTAGTAACGTTGCTTCTAATTCATGAGCTAGAATTGAATTTGTCACTGCACACGAAAGTTGAACAGGAATGACAGGAAGTGGAATTTACAATTGCGTGAAATTCAAGTCTATCAAAAATCTATCTGTATATAAAGTTTACAAAATGTAACTTCAAGGCCTTTAAAATTGTTTTTGAAAAGTCACCCAACATTTCAAGCTTTTTTTGAGGACCCGTTCAATTGTTGGCCTACTTTTATTTAATTCTAGTTTGAATGTTAATTTTAGTTTAAGATTTCTTTTTAAATTCAAATTCAGGCATAAGCATACTAATATCGTTTGTGCATGTCTGATTACTATACATGTGCCTGCTGTGCTTGTGCAGACTGTGGGGAGGTGGAGGGAGAGGACCGTATTGTTAATGGGGAGGACACCGCAATCGAACACTGGCCGTGGCAGGTTAGTCTTCAATGGAACCGCCAGCACAAGTGTGGAGGAGCGTTACTGTCCAGGCAATGGATCGTTTCAGCTGCTCACTGTTTTACAAGGTGAGTCATTCACAAATGGAACGCGTGTCCTAGGACATAATTTCAGTCAGAATTTACTCCCAGTTAATCAAGTTTCATTTAAATCACTGTTGACTGGTGAAATGTCTAAATGGGTACCGTAAACCTGTATTGGTTGCTTTGAATAAAATTCTTCTCTTTACAATAACAGAACAAACTTTTACCTGTTTAAATGTATGACAGTTGGTCCACTTGGATGTTGTTTTCTCTTGCTGTCTCTCTCACGCACAAAACTCCAAGCCGGACACGAGAGCTGAGTCGATGGACTGTGGTGTTAGGTCAGACCCAACTGACGGCATCCAGGGGTGTCCGTGTAGAGACGATTGTGATCCACAAGGACTACAGCCGCTTGAGTAATGACTATGACATCGCCATGCTAAAACTCACCTGGCCTGTCAAAACTGGGGGTACAGTATCTGTTCTGTTGACCTCGCTTAATTCTGTATTCATTGGGTTGTTCACCCCATCCATTGACAGTTTTTTTTTTTTTCATTTAATGACAGTTCATAGTGATCACATCATAAAGTGTAGTATGTAGCCAACATTTGAAGTGGCTCACAAAAGTTCATCAAAGTTGTCATAAGATGAGAATGGGTATGGTTCAAAATTCATGTATAGACCATTTTGCAAGATGTAAACATTGGTCCAGAAGCACTTCCTGTTTCAGTTTTTTAACACTATATAAACGCTGGGATAAAATACAACCAACAGAACATATAAATCTGAATCAAAAAGTTAAACATCTTTAAGATGTTTTCTTTACACGTGAAATAAAGAAAACAGTTACAAACTGAAACAGGAAGTGCTTCTGGACCAGTGTTTACATCTTGCAAAATGGTCTTGATCCACTTCAGATGTTGACTATAATGGTGCACAGATTTAAAAAGACACGGGCAAGTACATTTTAATATATGTATGAATTATTGGCAAAATTTGATGCAAAAAATATGAACGGTTCACTTACATTTAGTTGAAGCTTCACTGTCTCATCAGCATCCTACTCTAAGGCATCACTGTCAGTGGTTCGTATATGGTCACAGTGGTTGTGAGGTCTATCATAGGAAAAAAGTCCCAATTTATAAATGTAATTGGCTAAAGCTTGTTCTGTCTACCCTTAGAATTGATCTTGCCAGTTTGTTTACCCCCACACCAGTTGTCTGTGAAGGAGATGCTTGTGGTGACTGGGTGGGGATTGCTAAATGAAAAAGGTAAGATGAAAAGGGTTTGTCACTTAATGGATAATTTGCAACTCTAAGGCAGGACCGTGACCTTCTACCTATTTCAAATCAGCAGTCTACCTCTTCGGTTTCTCCCACACCCTTTGTGTTGTTTTGTCTCTGGCATTTCCTCATTCTCGTTTTCATAGGGGGGCATCCCTCGGTGCTGCAGAAAGCTTCAGTGCCACTGATTGACCGGTCAGAGTGTTCAAAGCCCTCTGTTTATGGTTCCGCCATTACTCGCAGAATGCTTTGTGCTGGATTCCTCGAAGGAAATATAGATGCGTGTCAGGTAACACAAAATGGAAAAATTAGTCTACATATCATAGTCTGTATGTATATCCATATAAAATGTAAAGAATTTCAAAATGGAATAGTCATTTTAAAATAGTCACTCTTTTTCAGGGGGACAGTGGGGGTCCGCTCGTGTACCTTTCATCTCGATGGCAGTTATTGGGCATAGTGAGCTGGGGTGTGGGCTGTGCACGGGAGGGAAAGCCTGGAGTTTACACTGATGTTAGTCAACTTCTTGACTGGATCTACACTGTAATGGAGGTATGCGTCATGTGACTGCAAATTAATACAATATATAAGAAATCGAAATCTTATTCAAGATCAACTGTCATGTTTTAGAGACATCCATGAGGACGAGGAGGTGAATAATGGATGTGAATCTCTTCATGCTATCATCCCACAAAGGAGAAAAGACAATCACCTTAAAGTGTCAAAACAGAAATAAGTGTTAGTGAATATAGGGATCATTCAATTTTATGATAAATTTGACCAGTATGGTCAAAACGTATGCTTTTTTTTAAATCGCACTTGTTCATTGGAAGTATAGCACTATGGCAATTTTCCAGTTATTTTGCTGTATGTTCACTGTAAAGCAATTAAAATACTGTAAATGTTTTAACTTTTTTCTAAACCAAAAGCATGTAGAAGGCAACAAATAAATAAAGCATGATACATTTACCAGTCCATCAAATTTATTTCATCCAAAACTTTTTTTGTAGCTTCATATAATAAAGAAATCTAATAGGCCTTCACCTGTTTGAGGAAACAATGGGATCAAGAATGGAGCATCTATGATATAGCATGTGTTTTTGCATTCAGTTTTGGCAGGTATTGATGTTGGTGTCTTCTGTCTGAGTTGAATTAAAAATTGAATATTGGGATTGCAAATTCTACAATTGCTGACTTTGAGGCCTCTACTCTCATTGGTCTTACATTTCTGCGTTAACAGTCTGGTTTAGCTTGGTATTCATAAAGCATTGAATGTTTCTGATCCAGCTTTCAAAAAAACATTGCTGCAGTGGCACTCCAATGCTTTAATAACATTTCTATAGTTTGCACACAAATTACTGTACTGTAAATAACAATTTACAGAAGTTGTACATTCATGATATAATTAAAAAATATAATAAAATCAGCAATCAACCTTTTATTGTTTCTCCTACATCTTCAATTGCTTTGTTTCTGGCATTCCCTTATTCATACGGTGAGCTGCAGAAAGCTTTACAGAATCCAGTTTAGAATCACAGTTTGTGTGAACCGACACACCAAACGTGAACATATGGATTTATGTTTATGGCTACATGAAATGGGTGTTTGAGGTATTCGACAGAAACATGACACATTAACAGATAAATACAACTTAATAAAAAAAAAATAGAAACTAGAAGTTCACATTTGTGGTATTAGCCTGTGGTTTAGTTGGAAAAAAAATGTGTAACTATCACAATTAGGTCATGATCTCTGCCAAGCCGGACAAATAATAGCTAATCCAACCACAACTGATATGTTAATACAATGAATAAAGGGAATAAAAATATGGAGAGTGGAATAATAATAATTAAAAGCCCAAGTCACGCAGAATGCCAAACTATTTCACTTAACCCGAGAAATATAAAATACAAATTTAGCACAAAATGGTGAAAATATTTCTGAATAAGAGGTAGTACAAGTGCTTTGAAAATTTATGGATGTACCTTCTCAATATTTCTCCTATTAAAAGAAGCTAAAGAGCCCTCTGAATGTGTATTGCTTTACTGACCTGTGTGCCATAAAGGATCAAAATTAAAAAAAAAGACTGTGTAGTCTCAACATATGCCAGAAGTTATCCACTTCTTCAATGCACAGCTGATTTAAGTGTCATTGCAGCCAGTGCAATGACACTATCACAACTTGAAAAGTTGAAAGTTTTTATGGTAATGCTTACATTCAAGTGATCCAAACAGAATTACAAACATTTCAACTACACTACAATTTAAAAATAAATTAAAAATACTATAAAGAAAGTATACTTGCTATTTCCATAGACATTTAGTGATGATGCGGAGGGTATGAGAGAAGAGCTATTGGATATACAGTAAACCGGTACATTGCTTTTTTCTTTTTTTCAGGTCCAAATTCAGTATAAATTTACCAGATTTCTCCAAGACTGATTTTGCACTCTATAGTTATAATAAATCTAGAAGAATATGTTAAACTGTAACAACCTCTGACTAACTGTTTATCTGGAGTTAACTACTTTTGGCACTGAAAACAAGTTGCTTTGATCAAGGAAGACTTTCTGCACAAGAATTTTATGACCAACATCACCCAGGATTCACAGTAAAACTCCTCAATAATTCCAGAATCCAAAGACCTGTAAAATGATTCAAGTATTCAGTAATAATGGGTGTACCTATAAGGAGAGCTCTCAGTAGATATGTTTTTATTATGCTTTACTTTTCATCTCTAAAAATATAATGTAACTAGAAGATGTAACGTTTCTTTTTATATGCAGGATAATTTGCTATCTGTCTTTTAGAGGTGACATTTTCTGTTTTATACAGCAGCTCTGTATTTTTAAGAACGGATTATTGGCGAATTTTATTTGGTGAGGTGAGGAACAGACCTCTTGACGTCAGTCCCTTTTCACTGAATTCCCTGCTGAATCCCTCAAGTGAAAGTTTGAAATGCTTATTAGCTAAACTGCTGAAAACCAGCGAGACCTATATCCAGTCATATCTCGGTCGGCCTACTTAAATCTATATTTACATCATATATACTATCATTATTGTTTTGCATGACTGTATGATGAGTTTATTGCCTTTAAATATTGCATTTTCATGATGTCATAGGGTGAGTTGCATGGTTTACAGTTCACAGTATGTCTGTTTGCATTAAAAGGTTATATATATATTTTTTTCCTTTTTGGTAATATTTTGTTTTGCATGGAAATTCACCAAGTTCATTCTGTTCAGTATATGACAATTTGTTTCAATATTTCAATAAAAAACCATTACATATATTTCTACTGTTATAGTCAGCCATGTATGCCTAAAACGTCTGGCCATTTAACATGCATTGAAAATTATCTGAAGCAGCATTTTCAGTGTTTCATTCTGGATTTTCTCTAAGGGGATATTGATTTCTACAGATTGTCAAGTATCATTCATTAGCTTGTATTTATTTACTATCTATTTGGTGACTTTTGCAATTTAGCAGCGCTTTCTATTTCTGTTTTTATTTTTATTTTATTTTTTTTTTGCATCATAATGTTCTGCATTGATTGAGTCATCCTCGCCAAAAGGGGGCAAGAGAAGCATTAACAGGCACCTGTGTTTTATTTTCAAGCAAAAACGGTAATGAGTTTTATTTAGAACTGGACTCAAGACTGCTACAATAAGGCCTATTTTAATTTAATTATACTAATAAGCCTCCTTCCATGTTTATTATAATCAGTTTTCTGCTGGTTTTTTCCGAAGTACTGCATTAAAACATGCAGTTGTTTTTTTTCATCTGCTCTGAGGGTCTGTCTGTCAGCGAAACAATACAAATCACTAGTGTCCTCTAAAACTATTTCCTTCAAATTGTTGCATAATTGATCTGTCTACAACATTTTTAGGTTGGTGGTGGCCATTCGACAAACAATACTGCATTTGTATTTACACAAGGATTCACAATAAAAATCCATAGACATTTGCTAAACAACACTTAATCTCCAAACAGTAGCTGTGAACTGAAGTTCAGAAGTGTTGCCTCGCCTGCACTCATTTCTTAACTATTTTAGTCAGGCACCTACACGTGAGGCCGGGGGCCCTTCACAGTTTTACAGTCCAGTTCAATTAACAAAATGAATAGCATAGCTAAATTTATCCCTGTCTTAAGCATTGTTTGAAGAAAAATTAAAACTTTCTATCATAAGAATAAATACATCCCACACAGTGTGGGTCAATGAACTAAAGTGCATGAGTCTGGTGCATATTTAACTGCATAAATAAATGTAAATATATGCAGAAATACATAATGCCCCTCTTTTCATTCATAACCACGTTTATGAGTGAACGAAATGCTTAAATTGAGCCATGTGAATATCATCCATGGATATGTTACGAATTAATATCTTTACAATTTGTTTAACACTATACCTTTATGATGAAAACAGAAGTGTAGCATTTGTAAACATGGATGTGAATGAACAGAGAGGGCACAGCATGATGGCTGATCCACATGCATTTGAGACCATGTTTGGATACACGCTGTCATGCTTTCTTTGGAGTAGATTTGGAGCCCGACAGACCGTTCTCCGTGTTATCAATCCCTGAGGAGGTGACAAGGCACTCCTTACTGAAAAAGACAAAGAAAGAAATAAGCAGAATGAGACGGAGATCATGTTTATATCGTATATTTTACACAGAATACTAATAATAATTAACAATATAATATTTTTATATTACATATCAAATATTTTGTTATTCTTTTTTATTTAAAATATTGTCAGGCAGTATTTTTTTTATTTAGTCTCTACTTTTTGCTAATTTGGCTCAAACAATTTCAATGACATGGTCAAAATCTGGTAAATGTCATAGTCTTTCTTATGTGTACATACAAAAGGCTGCCATGAACTCACTTTTTTTCCTCAATCTTTGCGAGAACAAACAGTGTGAAGTTCTTTATCAGCATGAAGGCCATTAAAAAAGCGATGGATCCACCAACACAGGAGGCAATGATAATGGTGAGCGTGTTATCAACCACCCTTACTGAGAAGAGTATCCAGAGAAGAAGACAAAAAGAAAGAGAGAATGAGAAAAGAAGCGGTTATTTTAATAATGACCTTGAAATGTAACGTGTATATATCATTCTCTTTCTGTGACTCCCTCTCTCCCCACCCTGCTACACTTACGTTCCTCTAATACGTATAGAGTGAAAAAGGCGGTGTGATTCTTGCCCTTCTCTTTGGGATTTTTGCCAAAGCAGCTGTAGACGCCAGCATCCTCGAATGTTACATTCCAAAGCAGTATGGAGATGTTGTTTCCTTTACTGGTGCCAACAAACTCCACCCTGTCACGGTAAACGTTCACCTTATTTGGTTCCACATGATCCGTTGGAATCACAGAATCAACCATCTGATTGGAAAACAGAACTCTTTAGTTATAAATGTAAAATTAAGCAAATGTAAAGTTGCACTTACACACTTCAACTTACACTCTTTTTGTCTCTGACACTGTCAGTTCTAATGCAGTGCACATTTATATCCCGTAAATTATATATTACTCTGTTTTACAATATCCTTAACTTTGATTGTGAGAATTGTTAGAACATGATTTTACAGCAAGAAAAGGCACAGATGTTTTAAAGACTCAAGACCATTTAGCCTAATTAACGTTACACATAATCTTTGATAGCCTGTAAGGACACTTGCAATGTGCTGAACATAATTAGCCAATGAGTAACAACATCAAGTCAATCCATGATTTCAAGTGTCCTTGAAGGCAAGCAAAACCAGCTCAAGAATAAGTCTATTTATATATCCAATCAATGTTCAACACACCAGCGACAGTAACTCATGTGAAAATAATATTTTGCATGGTTATAACAAAACATGGTAAACAAAACGTGAAGTGGCCTGCTGCATCGTGTTATATGCTACAACAGATTAGTACGCGCGTAAGATAGGTAAATAATGCACATTCAGCAGGTAATTATGCTAAAATAAATCCCATCCTATCCATTTCCCATCTTGCACGGCCACCGCTGCTTACCAAATAAATAGTTGACATGACATATTGATTTGAGTGTGAAATATTTGATCATTTTACCTACATTATCTTAAAGTTTCTGCTAAGATTTACAAGATTACAATAAAACAATCGGTAGCAACAAGACGAACACTGCAACAATATCAACAGTCCCCTGAGATCTTTTTCACTTTAATCGATTAGACGCAAGATGGCGCCAGCTGCGTTTGCATGAACCTGTACAAACGCGTTCACGTGATCAGTGTCAAAAATCGACTTTGATTAATATTGAAGATACATTTTTTTCTCCTGAAACTTAATTTTCAGTTTTAAAATTAGATTACATTTTCAATAGGGTGTCAGATTTTAAAACTCCTTAATAAAGTTTGTTGTAGCCCTATTTTAAACATTTTCGTTATGTTTGTGTGGCGATATAGGCTATGTTATTCTGTTCTATATTCTATGCAAATTATTTGCAACTTGCATGTGTATCTGATTTTATGCAATACAGTTCAGTGGAATAGATTATTACAGGCCTATCTATCACATGATTATTGAACATAAAATATCTGTTAGCCTACCTTCTGCATGGTGCCATTATCATTGTACTCCCATTTGAAGTAGAGGTTAGTGATCCCAATACAACTGGCATAGGTGCACGGCAAAAGGACTGTGCTGCCGTTCACTGCTTCCAAAAAGGGGATCTTACCAGTAGACATCTCCAGAGCATGAACGTAACACACACCTCAAACAGGAAGAGAAGGCAGATAAAGAGGGATATCTTTTGTCAGTAAAACCATAAGAGAGAGAAGCAACTCTGGTTAGTCAAGGTCAGTAAGACATTATAATGCCAAGCTGACATGTGCACTGATTAAAATACAGTATAAATAAATATACATTCTCTCACACAAAGGCGATTCTTTCATTGAACTGATGTTTTCTTATGAATCATGAGATCATCTCATATAGAGGGCTTTACCCCGACAACCTTCTTGTTACCAGTCCTAGATGTTTAACACAATGCCAAACTGTAAAATGAGTACAAAACACTAATAAATTAATAAACACATTAATAAAGAAATGAATTATAATATTTGATGTAAAATAGACAAACATCTATAGTACTAGACTGCAGATAAACAGATATCCTTCACATAACAAGGATGTTAAATGGTTCTGTAAGGTGTTTACACTGTAAAATCAAACAGTTGTTTTAACTAATACTTCAGTAAACTTTACTTAATGTCTTCACTTAATTGTAATATAGTAATCTGTAATATTCACACAATATGTCTTGGATAATTGATTGGTTTGAGTGCCATATTTTGTCAATAAAAAATGAAAAAAAAAAAGGTTTTTTTTAAGCGGGGAATTTTCATCCACTTCTGCGGTTATCTTCATCCACTAATTTCCCAAAGTCATCTTGAATGTTGAATTGTCAATAGAACTGAACATTTTGACAAAACATCACATAAGCAGACTTCATAAACTGATGTTGATTTTCCTAAATGTTTTTGTTTTAACTCACCACTATGGTAATTAGTGTTCCATTTGGTTGGGCACAACTTTATTTCTATTATTGCGATTCAGTGTAGCATCTGGACCAATCAGACACACAAATGATTCATTATATTTGAATTCTAGCAAACTCACTCTCCCAACAAAATATGAAACTTCCCAAAAACTAAAATCTCAAATGGAGCCTACACACTGGCAGAACCCGGTGTCCTGTTACAGGACACATTAAAACCGATAAGACTTTTTACGACCGCAAAAGGAATTTGCAGAGAGTTGTGACTCTCACTTAATTCTTGCTGAGATGGAGAAATAAACCCATTTAATCCTATACATTCTATATATAACCATTTGAGAAATGTATAAACATCTAATTTTCCCATCTCATGATTTTTCTTTTATGTGGTTTGACCAATGCATTCATTCAACTCTTTTGGATTAATGTTTCAGACTCGCACACTGGTTAACCAAAATCATGTGTAGCATGCCTCTATAAACTCCAATCTCCGTCCCTCATTTGGTAATTTACATTACATTTTGCTAACTTTGTGATGCATTAGTATTATAAGATTCTTGAAGATTCTTTGTTAAACAACCAGTCGGATAACATGTTTAAAGGCCTGCTTAAAACAAAATATCGTAAAGGAATTCCCTCCAACTTCTTTGGCTCACAACCCTCCAGAGGGTAAGACTTCTTCACGGTTTAAAAATCACTGATCACAAGATCACACCTCTTAGTCTCTTGGTCTCTTACTGAAATTCTGATGTGAAGATGAGGCTGAACGAAGCTTGCGCCAGGCTGCGGCCTTGTCTTTCCATTCACCAAAGATCCTCTGACTCACACTGGTTCTTTCTCATTAAGACAACATCAGCAAAGATCAACTGGAGCCTCAACAAACTGCATCAGGACAGTTTAATTCTAATTAAACTGGTGGTTTGCTCAAGGCTGTCGATCTGCTGAATGTCAAATAATGCTATAACTTCTTGCTTTCCTATATTCTGCTTCAGCTCTCTTTCCTTTGGTAAACTCTCTGCGTGATGTGATGTATGATGTGATGCGTGTATGTTCAGTCTAGTTAATAAAATCTTGTTCTCGTCACAAGTAAAGTTGTCCATGTTTCAAGCTTCTCTAATCATGCAGATTTTGACTACTTGCTCTTAGTAGTACTGTAAAGTAAGAAAGACATTTCCCATACCCCGAAGTGTTCACAGCACAACAAAGTTAATTGATTGTAATATTAATTTTACAACATGAAGTTAATTATATTAACTGATCCAAATATTTAAAGTTATGATTGATTATTAATATTGAGGCAATTTTCTACACCAGATACTTTGAAACCATATGATGAAAAATATTTAATAGAGACTTAATCAAAGAGACTTTTGCTTCAAATCGCCCTGATTCCCAGACATCGGTAATAGACCCTATTTAAGTGAGTCTTCAGTCCCTTTCCTTTCATCGCAGCTCCTTTACAGTACATTCTGTGATTAACTCAGCAGCAGTTAAGATCTGTGATACCCCCATTAACCAGCCAAAAACAAAATCCCTGAAGTTACTGTCTTATGCATTGATTAGTCTGTGTTCGTCCAAAGTATGTTCGCTAGTCTAGAGCAGGACGTCCCGTACACAGCTCTCGGATGGATAATTCTCAGTCACTCGTTCACTGACAAACAAATTTTGAACTTGCAACCGAAAATCAAGAAATATTCCTAAGAGCCATGTCGTATATTATTCAAATTTAAATGCAGCTTAATTTGTGATACATAAGCCTTACGAAGGCCAAAATTTTATGTTTAAGTAGCCTACATAGTCATTTGCTTAGTGAAATAAAGTGGTGTTAACATCCTAACATGAAGGGGCCAGTTGTTCAAAACATTTAATCTGGATCAAAATGATCCGGATTTGGAAATCCCATTTTTTCCTATCCAGGATCAGGTAATCCGTCTTACTTTTATGCAACTTTCAAAGCAACATTGGACTGGATCACCCTGATCCAGATACACACTTTTCAAGATTACCAAATCCAGATTGCCAGTGCTCTAAATGGGACAACATATCACAATGTGGGCTACCAGCTATGTAAAGAACAGGTAGAAGAGCCAACATGGGGTCACTGTAAGTTTCTTATTTTGAGACAAAAAACAAATGGGGACAAGATCATTTTTATTTTATTTTTACTTTACTATACTGGGGTGCATTTCCCGAAAGCATCGTTAGCCAACTATGGTCGCAAGTTCCGTCGTTACCAATAGAGTTCAATGGAAATTGCGACCAACTTGCGACCATAGTTGGCTAACGATGCTTTCGGGAAATGCACCCCTGAATAGCTTAATTGTTAGCCTATGTCTACTTTATCACTGTAACAATGGTTACACAAGTCAAATGCAAAATATAAATAAAAGTATATACTAAATGATACAAATGTATTATTTGAGCAATTTTAAAGTTGTACTACATTTTCTTCCTGAAGTCCACCTTGAAATCCTACCCCCTGTTGGGATCAGGATAATCCTGTTTTTTTGGATCAAAGTTATCCAAATCCCACTGACAAGTTTTGAACAACACAAACTGAAGGTTTGATCCAGATTAAAACTAGGATTGGATTCCCTGATCTAATCTGATTTCAGATTCCTTCTTTCCTTTTTGAACAACCCATTTTCAAGATTTGATCCAATCCGATAACCAAAATCCGATCAGCTTACCTTTGAACAACTGGACCCTGAGAATTAAAGTATTGAATCAGATTTTAAACGACTTGATGCTGACTTTTCACACCATACTAACACTTTATTCAGCAGCTTCCCTGCAATACAATACTTGTTTAAGACACTATAGCTGCATAGTGTTTGCAAGCTCACTGTTTTCAGTATAAACTCCTGTTCTTGTCAGTGAGAGTATGTTGTTCTATCCTCAGTACTGTATATATCTCCACAATTATCCCATGTAGACTGCTCTATTTTTAAAGTTTATTTCCCTAAATCAAAAATAATAACTAAACAGTCTTACCAGTGATAAGTATGAGCAGAAGACAGGAAGCAGTTCTTTCAGAGGGTGTGCAACCTCCCCCTCTCAGGTGCCCTCTGCTCTGTGTTTCCATCCTGCTCTTCACTTTCTTTTCCCTTCTTTTTGTCACGTCCACCAGCCTTCCTCAGCAGTTCACGTCAAGTTTCCCAGAAGTCTTTGTTCCTCAAGATGCTGCCTAGGTGGCAAAGACACCAGTCTGCTTCTCAGCAGTTGCACACTTGATCAATCTGTGCGCACAAACAGAAGATTCCCCCTGTCCAAAGGCCCGTTTCTAGAACTCCATCTGGCTCAGCTTTTTGGTTGTTCGGTTGCCCTCTGACCTGTGAAAAAGGGACGTTTTGAACACGAGGGCAGCAAGACTTAAAGGAGTAGTTCACTTTTGAAAAAACTTTTGCTGATAATTTACTCACCCCCATGTCATCCAAGATATCCATGTCTTTCTTTCTTCAGTCGAAAAGAAATTAAGGTTTTTGATGAAAACATTCCAGCATTTTTCTCCATATAATGGACTTCAGTGGGAAACAAACGGTTCAAGGTCCAAAAGACACTTTCAGTGCAAACTGTTCAAAGGGCTTTAAACGATTCCAGACGATGAATAAGGGTCTTATCAAGTGAAACAATTGCTCACGAATTGACTCGGAAAAAGATTCATACATTTTGATGAACGAGTTCGAACAGGAGAGTCACAAACGTGCATCGCAGTACAGAGCAAGGCAAGCATTAGAGCTTATAAAACTTTTTTTTTTTTTTTAAATGAGCGATCGTTTCACTTGATAAGACCTGTATTCATCGTCTGGAATCGTTTAAAGCCCTTTGAACAGTTTGCCTTTTTGTTACTGAAAGTTTCTTTTGGACCTTGAACCATTTGGTTCCCATTGAAGTCCATTATATGGAGAAAAATGCTGGAATGTTTTCATCAAAAACCTTAATTTCTTTTCGACTGAAGAAAGAAAGACATGGACATCTTGGATGACATGGGGGTGAGTAAATTATCAGCAAAAGTTTTTTGAAAAATGAACTACTCCTTTAAAACATTCATAAAAACGCTCCACAAATTCCTGTATAAAATATTTGTCCCACTCAAACTATAACCCTATATCTTTTATAATCAAGATAACTCTGACCAACTCCAGTTAAGTTTTGAAGAAGTTTACTTTAAGTTGGTTTGGATAAAAGTGTCTACAGCAAACATGGAAAATTAATAAATACACATAATTAAATATATTTATTCAAATATTTTGACAAAAAGTAACAAAATAATAAATAACTTTAATTGAAAATTAATGAATATTATTTTTAGTACAATTAATATATAAAGGACATAATAAAATGTGTGAATTTATTATTTTAAGTTAATACATTTACTTATGTATATTTATAAATTTGGTCCACTTTGATCAGACCCTATAATAATTATAATAATAATAATCTACATGTAGATTTGTTAATATTAATAAGGTTAAATTCTAAACGGTCATACAAACGCACACACGCAAATGTGTGTGAACACACTGAACTTTTGTACTTTTGTATGTACTTGTGTAAGTCCTTAGCTAATATATACACATTTCCAGCAATGAAAAAACAACCAAAATTTGTCCAAATGACTCAAGAGCTGTGTGTTTGTGTTTAGTTGAGTGAGTGTGTGTGTGTGTGTGTGTGTCTTTGGGTGTGTGTGTGTTTGTATTTGGTTGAGTCAGTGTGTGTGTGTGTGTGTGTGTGTGTGTGTGTGTGTGTGTGTTTAGTTGAGTCAGTGTGTGGGTGTGTGTGTGTGTGTGTTTGTGTGTGTGTGTGTCCGCACCTTACCTCTGTTGAGCAGGTAAATCTGTGTGTCCTGTTCGGAGAAGCAGAGGGCATCAGTCCACAGAATATGCTGCACACAAATCCGCAGTGCTTTGGTCCCGATACTGCTCAGACACGCACACAAACACCCTCTGACACCCACATACACACTCTCACCGTTGCACCTTCCTCCTTCCTTATAGAGAGACACACATGCAGTCCAGCCGGTAAGCGAGAACTGAAGAGCATTCAAGCACTGGATGTCTGAGGACAACTGCAGCTAGTCTGTTTAACAGAAGAACCCCCCCCCCCCCCCCTCCCCCCCTCTATGAAAAATCTGCTGAAATTTGGCTCACACTCAACTTTTCCCCTCCTTGGCTGACTGCCGGTCCCTCACTTCCTCCCTCACCCCCCCCCCCTCTCTCCAAGCTGTAAACGTGAGTTCAGGTGTCAGGCGATGATATTTGGGGTCCAAAGTCTCTTCTGCATTGCAGGTTTTAGAGAGGAAACAGGGAGGATGGCTCCAGAAAGAAACATGAGGGGTCCTCCGGAACCCCCAACTGCTTGAATACACATCACTTAATACTCACGAAGCAGTGAGAGTTTGTTTGACCACTATTAACTAGTGACATGTGTCATTTACACAAAATGTGCAGAAAAATGAATGAATATGAGTAGCTGCATGTGTGAGTGTGTGTTTGCCTGCAAAGTGACCGTGACTTTGAATTTGTGTTAATGCCTCACTCTCTCTTCACATCTATGATGTATTAGCAGAATTGAGTTTCCCGTGACTCTGCATTTCTCAACCCCACCCCCTCTGGTATTGATGATAGGCTGCACCAGCAGTGTCAGGTTTCCCTGGATCAGGGCAATTGTCATCTGAAACTCAGATACTTTCTGTAATAGGGCATAGCTCCCAATGTAAACTGTGTACTGTATATGCAGATCTAAAATGTGGGTGTGAAAAGAAAGATGCATTGTTATTTACTGGTGAATCTCCCTGAATCCCTCTAATATGGAAGTCATTCTTGGTTATTCTAAACAAATTATTAATTTAAGCAATTACATTGAGAAACATCATGCTGTCAGCTGTCACATTCCATCAACAAATGAAACAAAAAACAAACAAACAACACAACAGAGAAAGATCCGAATCGAACTATGTGGAGTGCATCTGTGTCAAAAAGACTGGGATAATTGGCAAGAAATTAATTCTGGTACAGAGGAGAATCTGCAAGGTACTCATGCAACAGTCTAGGCAATCATGCAACAGTCTAGGCACTCATGCAACAGTCTAGGCACTCATGCAACAGTCTAGGCATTCAAGCAACAGTCTAGGCAATCATGCAACAGTTTAGGCACTCATACAACAGTCTAGGTACTCATGCAAACGTCTAGGCACTCGTGCAACAGTCTAGGCACACAATGCAACAGTCTAGGCACACAATGCAACAGTCTAGGCACTCATGCAACAGTCTAGGCATTCAAGCAACAGTCTAGGCACTCATGCAACAGTCTAGGCAATCATGCAACAGTCTAGGCACTCATGCAACAGTCTAGGCAATCATGCAACAGTCTAGGCACTCATGCAAAAGTCTAGGCACTCAAGCAACAGTCTAGGCAATCATGCAACAGTCTAGGCAATCATGCAACAGTCTAGGCACTCATGCAAAAGTCTAGGCACTCAAGCAACAGTCTAGGCACTCATGCAACAGTCTAGGCAATCATGCAACAGTCTAGGTACTCATGCAACAGTCTAGGCACTCATGCAACAGTCTAGGCAATCATGCAACAGTCTAGGTACTCATGCAACAGTCTAGGCACTCAAGCAACAGTCTAGGCAATCATGCAACAGTCTAGGCAATCATGCAACAGTCTAGGCACTCATGCAAAAGTCTAGGAAATCATGCAACAGTCTAGGTACTCATGCAACAGTCTAGGTACTCAAGCAACAGTCTAGGCAATCATGCAACAGTCTAGGCAATCATGCAACAGTCTAGGCACTCATGCAAAAGTCTAGGCACTCAAGCAACAGTCTAGGCACTCATGCAACAGTCTAGGCACTCATGCAAAAGTCTAGGCAATCATGCAACAGTCTAGGCACTCATGCAACAGTCTAGGTACTCATGCAACAGTCTAGGCACTCAAGCAACAGTCTAGGCAATCATGCAACAGTCTAGGCAATCATGCAACAGTCTAGGCACTCATGCAAAAGTCTAGGCACTCAAGCAACAGTCTAGGCACTCATGCAACAGTCTAGGCAATCATGCAACAGTCTAGGTACTCATGCAACAGTCTAGGCACTCAAGCAACAGTCTAGGCACTCATGCAACAGTCTAGGCACTCATGCAACAGTCTAGGCAATCATGCAACAGTCTAGGTACTCATGCAACAGTCTAGGCAATCATGCAACAGTCTAGGCACTCATGCAAAAGTCTGGGCACTCAAGCAACAGTCTAGGCACTTATGCAAAAGTCTAGGCAATCATGCAACAGTCTAGGTACTCATGCAACAGTCTAGGCACTCAAGCAACAGTCTAGGCACTCAAGCAACAGTCTAGGCACTCATGCAACAGTCTAGGCAATCATGCAACAGTCTAGGTACTCATGCAACAGTCTAGGCAATCATGCAACAGTCTAGGTACTCATGCAACAGTCTAGGCACTCAAGCAACAGTCTAGGCACTCAAGCAACAGTCTAGGCACTCATGCAACAGTCTAGGCAATCATGCAACAGTCTAGGTACTCATGCAACAGTCTAGGCAATCATGCAACAGTCTAGGTACTCATGCAACAGTCTAGGCAATCATGCAACAGTCTAGGTACTCATGCAACAGTCTAGGCACTCACGCAACAGTCTAGGCACTCAAGCAACAGTCTAGGCACTCATGCAACAGTCTAGGCACTCATGCAACAGTCTAGGCATTCAAGCAACAGTCTAGGCACTCATGCAACAGTCTAGGCAATCATGCAACAGTCTAGGCACTCATGCAACAGTCTAGGCAATCATGCAACAGTCTAGGCACTCAAGCAACAGTCTAGGCACTCAAGCAACAGTCTAGGCACTCATGCAACAGTCTAGGCACTCATGCAACAGTCTAGGCATTCAAGCAACAGTCTAGGCACTCATGCAAAAGTCTAGGCACTCAAGCAACAGTCTAGGCAATCATGCAACAGTCTAGGCAATCATGCAACAGTCTAGGCACTCATGCAAAAGTCTAGGCACTCAAGCAACAGTCTAGGCAATCATGCAACAGTCTAGGTACTCATGCAACAGTCTAGGCACTCAAGCAACAGTCTAGGCACTCATGCAAAAGTCTAGGAAATCATGCAACAGTCTAGGTACTCATGCAACAGTCTACGTACTCAAGCAACAGTCTAGGCAATCATGCAACAGTCTAGGCAATCATGCAACAGTCTAGGCACTCATGCAAAAGTCTAGGCACATTTAAGCAACAGTCTAGGCACTCATGCAACAGTCTAGGCACTCATGCAAAAGTCTAGGCAATCATGCAACAGTCTAGGCACTCATGCAACAGTCTAGGTACTCATGCAACAGTCTAGGCACTCAAGCAACAGTCTAGGCAATCATGCAACAGTCTAGGCAATCATGCAACAGTCTAGGCACTCATGCAAAAGTCTAGGCACTCAAGCAACAGTCTAGGCACTCATGCAACAGTCTAGGCAATCATGCAACAGTCTAGGTACTCATGTAACAGTCTAGGCACTCAAGCAACAGTCTAGGCACTCATGCAACAGTCTAGGCACTCATGCAACAGTCTAGGCAATCATGCAACAGTCTAGGCATTCAAGCAACAGTCTAGGCACTCATGCAACAGTCTAGGTACTCATGCAACAGTCTAGGCAATCATGCAACAGTCTAGGTACTCATGCAACAGTCTAGGCAATCATGCAACAGTCTAGGAACTCATGCAACAGTCTAGGAACTCATGCAACAGTCTAGGCACTCATGCAAAAGTCTGGGCACTCAAGCAACAGTCTAGGCACTTATGCAAAAGTCTAGGCAATCATGCAACAGTCTAGGTACTCATGCAACAGTCTAGGCACTCAAGCAACAGTCTAGGCACTCAAGCAACAGTCTAGGCACTCATGCAACAGTCTAGGCAATCATGCAACAGTCTAGGCACTCATGCAACAGTCTAGGCACTCATGCAACAGTCTAGGTACTCATGCAACAGTCTAGGCACTCATGCAACGTAAGCAAAGACGTACACCTGAGTGAATGAGACAGAAGAAAGTTAGCGAGTGAGGGGCATGACAGTTTTGGACTGAAACGCAGCCCTGGAGGATGCGACGGTAGCCATATTGTCAAGTCAAGTCACATTTATTTATATAGCACTTTTTACAATACAGATTGTATCAAAGCAGCTTCACAGTGATAACATGAAAGTAATACAACACAGATCAATAATATTGTTGAATATTAAATGTCCCCAACTAAGCAAGCCAAAAGCAAGGCAACAGTGTCAGAACGCCCAACACACACCAGCTTATTGGTGCAGCGGAGACAGAGTGATGAAGCTAATAAGTATATGGGGATGATTAGGAGGCCAATGGGTATATTTGGCCAGGATGCTGGGGTTGCACCCCTACTCTTTCGAAACATGGAATTTATTACTACAGGAGTCAGGACCTCGGTTAAATGTCTTATCTGAAGGACGGTGCTCTTTGACAGTTTAGTATCCCCATTACTATACTGGGGCGTTATAGGACCCACGCAGAGCACAGGGAGAGAACCCTTGCTGGACTCAATAACATCTCTTCCAGCAGCAACCTGGTTTTCTCAGGAAGTCTCCCATCCAGGTACTAACCAGGCTTAGCCCTGCTTAGCTTTAATGGGCAACCAGTCTTGGGCTACAGGGTGATATTCTATAATAGAATCGCAGAAGTTAAAGACACACTCTTTTGCACTTCAAAATTAAGATTTTAAACTGTGTATAGCTTATATATAGCTAACATACAGTAGCGGTTCTAGGCACGGGCGAACCGGGCAGTCGCCCGGGGCGGCATCTCTTCATGTCACATGGGGGACGGCACGAGCAGTTAAAAAAATCCTCTGTCCCGCGAAGGTTTTCTATTTTTTATCATTTCAATTCAATTATTGGCAATGGCGCCCCTGCTTGCGGAGAAGGTGCCGTGCACAGAAGCGATATCAAGGGGGTCTCTTGATTAGTTCACGTATCGCGTCTTTTGCGCGCTTGAGGTCGTTATTTCAAATAGGCGATTAGGCGCACGGGAAGCCGCACGGCACGCGCTCATAATCTTTTCAGTATGGGACTCAGTGCACGTGCACCCAAACACTTGGGGTTTTTTTCTCTTCTCCGTAAATAACTCTTTTAGCAGAGCTTCAGAAAGCGTTTTTCTGTGGTGGAAATACATTAGCTACTAAAACTTCTTTGCCATTGTGGAGAGCGCGAGTGCATGGTTGTAACGACAGCCATGGGAAAATCGGACCGAATTTTACTATTAAAAGATCAGCTACTGTGCATTATAAATGTCAGGAATATATCTTTATTGACTCATTCTTTTTATAGAGATGATTGAATGCTGAAATATGAGGTTTATATATTTTTTTTAAATCTTTTGTGTTAACCTTTTTTTTAAGTTTAGTTGGTAAGAAAAGACACTCCTTAAAAACAAATCTTTAATGTTATTAACTTGGTGAATTGATTTCATTGTGTATTAAGCTTTTTGAACAAGATTCTGTGATCATGTTGGTCACTATATTCATGAAATGAAAATAATTTACATAATGATCAACTTTATGTGTTTTTATAGTAGCCTATAATAGCCTATGCAAAGTACAATTTTCTATTTTCTAAATAATCTCTGATTCTGTCCTTTTCTCTGACATTTTAAGAGTGACATAGGGCTACAAAAGCTATTTTAGGTCTATAACAGTTTGGATAGTTGTTAATATGATAGCTGTTCAAAATTATTTAAGAGTATTGTGTTACAAAATAGGCCTAAGTGTCTCTCTGACGATTTTACTTTTAAAAACTCCATTTAGTGACAAAGTATACTTTAACAAGTCATGACTAAAAGTGTGCCATGCACATAATTCAAGGCAATAACCAATGCGCTAATGGTTACTTCCTCCCTTTAAAGTTAGATTAATCTAGCAAAAGAACTGGATTCTATTCACTGTGTTTTTCAAATGAACGGAATGAGATTTTATTTTTGGGGTGTTTTTTTTTTTTTTTTTGGTTGGTTGGTTGGTTTCGCTCGAAGGGGGTTTCGCCCTGGGTGTAATTCAAAGTAGAACCGCCACTGCTAACATATATATTGCATGTATTCCATTAAACAGCTCATAAATCAGCATGAGCACACAAATTAACACTCAGTATAAAACAGTTATTGATAAAGTATTGTGTCATACCGAAGGTCATGTGAACTAATTTTAAACATTATTGACAAGTGAGGGGTCAAAAAATTATCCATGCTGATAACTTGCGGTGTGTTTGTGGAATTAAGGATGCAGTTTGGAGTTCTGATATCCATTTTCAGGCTGCTCTGCAGCGCTGTGCTGCACTGAACATGGCAAGGTTTTTTTTTTCTGCCTTTCTGGAACAGTTCCCACCAATGCTGCATTTCAGAAAGAGAGAGAGAGAGAGAGAGAGAGAGAGAGAGAGAGAGAGAGAGAGAGAGAGAGAGAGAGAGAGAGAGAGAGAGAGAGAGAGAGAGAGAGAGAGAGAGAGAGAGAGAGAGAGAGAGAGGTGTCCTCTGCTGGTGCAGCAAAGAGTCTGGCAGGGGACGAGCCTCTTTCAGCACTCTGGTATACCGCAGTGAGCGAGCAAACCAAGCAAACACACACACACACACACGCACGCACACACCACACACACACACACACACAACACACACACACACACACACACACACACACACACACGCACGCACACACGCATACACACACACACATGAAGTCAGGTTCTTTATTTGGTTAAAACAATTGGAAATCTATAAAATTCCATTAATTAAGTCTAAGGCTCAGAAGCCCGTAATCCATCTCATGACACACACACACGGAGCATCAAAAGAACATAGAATGTGTTCATAATAAACAGGCTCATGACTGACTTCAGATGTAATTTAACAAAAGTAATATACTGCGTCATGTCTCTTCCTTAAACACATGCTTTTTAATCTAAATTATAAAAGCTTTGTTACCATAGCAAACACGTATGCACGTGTTGATTACAGCCACATTCAAAGTAATGGAGACTGTGCAAAGTTTCTTCATTTGAGGGAGAAGGAGCAGTGTCTGTTCACTCTATTATTGAATGAAACCAACTTGTGTTATCAATTTTTTTTATAGACTTTTACATCCACCAGAGGGTGCTTTACCACCCATCATAATTTCCAAGGCTGAAAAAAGCCAGAATGTAAGGTGTGTACATTTCCCTTTGGAACCCCCCCCCCCCAAAAAAAATTAATAGATTAGTTTTAGATTAATAGATAGATTAATGATGTTACTAACCATAAAAATCAGATTTCAGATGAAGCATCTTATGATAATTTTTTTTAAATTCATATTTATGTCCCGTTTTTATGTCTGATACTTTCCATTCTAGATCTAACAATAACCAAAATAAATGGTACATTCCTTTTATATAGGATGTAGCCATCAGACGAACTTTCGATATGATACAACCATCTAACAAACTCAACGTAACCTTGGTCAACGGAACTTTGAAAATGGACAAAACATTGTTATTTGACTATATTATGAAATGATTGATTGAAATATTAACCCCTTACAATAATTTTGATGATACAGGATTTGATTTGGTGATGTTTTTATTTTATACAAAATGTATATTTAACTAAATAAGTTGAACTTTAAAATTGTTAGAAAACCAAAGCCACATGTCTAAGCAAGTGTTCAAAATTTGAATATGATATCACAAATTAAAAAAAAAAAGTTTTAAAGTACTGTTTCCACACTAAAGCAATGTCAATTTTTAAATGGATGAAAATCTTGGTTTATGTTCTTTCTTTTTTTCTTTATTTACCATGACTAAATCAGACTACTTTGAATAAATAGTATAACACACATTATAAACTCTTGAAATTTATTGAAAGTGCAAACCGAAATAGCAGGGAAAAAAATAGCATTTCAGCCTGGCAAAAGAAAAAGTCCAGCATAAACTGGCACACAACCAGACTGATTGCCAGGTGTAAAAAAATAAAAATAATATATTTGTTTCTTTTACAGCTTTTAAAACTAGCTTTATCATGTCAAAATTTCAAGGAGAACATACCACCCACAAAAGGTTTTCAAAAAAGTTTTTTTTTTTTTTTACTTTTAAAATGTAAATAAAAGAAATCTATAAACATTTTTGTAAAATGTAACAACCAACAAAAAATAGAAAAACTATTTTTCATCAGAGAATAAAAGCATTTCATTTTAAACTAGGATTAAAAGATGGATTTTACTCATTACTCATTTTACTCAATTTACTCATTAGCAGACTTAATCAGCAGCATTGATGAACAAAGATTCCCCAAACTACTGTTAAACAGTGCAACAGACAACACACAGAATGAAGAGTGACGAAAAATTATCAATCATACCGATAGACAGTGCATGAAGTCAGGTTTTATATATATTTGAACTGGTATTTTATATCTTTTTAAGAATACAAAGGTTAGATGACCTCACTTTATGTATAAAAAACTACCCTTTTCCCTTCTGTTTGCATATATTAAAAAAGTCAACAAATAAAAATGTTAAAAAAGTAATGATTATTAAAAACTTTTCTCTGTAAAATTATCATAAGTAAAAAAAGTAAATTCTACTTACTAGACAAGAGTAATTTCAAAGAATACTGTGGCATAATATGTTATTATTTCATTTATCACTCGCTCTCTCGCAACATTTCCTTTGATCTGTGGTCCTCCATCTCAACACCCTTGTCATAGTCCCGTCTCCGGAATACCCGCACAATGATATAGATGGTGAGGATGATGAGAATGAACCCAATGGATCCACCCACAGCTATAGCCAGAATTCCAATTTCAGAGAATGAAACTGTAAGAAGAAAAGAGAGAGTACTATTTATGCTCATTACTGTGTTTTATTTTTTATTATTTTGTTGTTATCATTATTACCAGTACTGACATCTTTTTTTTTTTTTTAATTATTATTATTCCTGTCACTGATTTTATTGTACATACTGATGCTTTGGCAAAATTCTAAGTAAAATGTTCATGCCAATAATGTACTTTGAAACTCAATGAGGATGAGAAAATATGTTCAAATAACAGGCATGGGAAACTTCATCAGAGGATGGCCAGCAAACTGAACACCGCTCGCTCACTATTGTTAGTATTATACTCCTGTTGTCTCATAACATTCTGAGAGAAGTCTGTTTGTTATTGTAGCCCAGTTGAGATTAGATACTTCTGTCCTTCGGCTGCTGGGATCAAAGAAGGAACACAACATCCTGCTTATACAACCTTCACCTCTTCTGTCTGCTATATGTGTTTGGACGGGTGGATAAATGAATGATTTTTTCAAGCTGTGTTAAAGCATCTACTCTCACCTTTTTGAACAACTCTGAGACTGATCTCGCTTGCAAAGCCCTGGATGTCGGGCGGATTTCGGACTTGGCAGCTGTAGGTACCATTAAAGTTGAACTGCACATCCTGCAGCGTGATGGATCCATCACCGTTCATTACATCACCAGACCATACAGCATGATCCTTAAACAAGCCGTCCATTGGGGGATATACAATTTCCTGGTAGTGAAAAATCTAAGAGACAGAAATGTTGAAAGTTAAATAAGAAAGAAGGAGTCTAGCCCACTGAAATGAGGTCAGAACCATACAGCGAACGGCCTGTTTGGACTACACCCCTTTTAATGACGTAACTAGAACAGTTTATTGACTAATCTCTGCCAAGAGGAAAACACCAAAAGGGGCGTGGTCTTGTTGCGCTCCCACGGAGAAGAAGCACTTCAGATGTGCATGCATCTCCAATTTATGGTAAGAGGCGTGACCTTTCCAGATAACGTGTGATAAGCTGCTGTCGAATCACAACACAGGAACCGCTGGCACAATCAGAACTCGTTACGTTTTTCTGAAGGAGGGACTTCATAGAACAAGGACGTCATCGGGCCGTTTTTTGGACTGTGAAAACAGCTGTATAGTATGGAAGCTTGTTTCCGCCACTGAACATAAAAATAAAATGAATAATTGTGACTTTTTATCTCACAATTCTGACTTTTTTTCTCACAATAGCGAGTTTATACCTCGCAATTCTGACTTTATTTCTCAGAATTGCAAGATAAAAAGTCAGAATTGCTAGCCTGGGTTTCTCCATTCTCCCTTGCCGCAGCGCGATTTAATTCGCTCTGAGAGGCAGTCTGGATACCATGAACCAAATTTTCCCCGGAAAAAGGGAACCAATCACAGAACGGGGAGGGAGCACAGGCGCATTTGATAGACGTACAGGCGCATTTGATAGACATTTGTAGCACCCAATAATACGGCATTGTAAACTGGGCATTCGTAAACCACACCTCAAATAAGAGAAATTGAACGTGTGGTTTCCAGACCACGTTTCATTCTCAATGATACGTGGTCTGGCGTTAGCCAGCCTACAGAATTGGCTTTATGCACAGCTTCACTACTTCCTGAATTTCAGCCAGCTCCTTGTTTCCTGTCTGCCATTATTGGACACATTGATTAATTCAGGTGTGCTTGACCTCAGTAGTCACGGCAACAATAATCAGACACACCTGAATTAATCAATTTTGCCCAATTATGGCAGACAGGAAACAAGGAGCTGGCTGAAGTTCAGGAAGTAGTGCAGCTGTGCATAAAGCCCATTGCGTGATATAAAGTCGCAATTGCGAGTAATAAAGTCAGAATTGCGTGATATAAAGTCGCGCAATTCTGACTTTAAAATACATAATTGCGAGTTTATATGTTGAAATTATGACATCTTTTCTCAGAATTGTCAGATATAAACTCGCAATTGCAAGTTATCAGGACAATTCTAAGGGGGAAAAAAGACTAACTTTTTCCCCCCCTCAGAATAGTTTAAATCTCACAATTCTGACTTTATATCTCGCAATTCTAACTTTATAACTCGCAATTCTGACTTTATATCTCGCAATTCTAACTTTATAACTCGCAATTCTGACTTTATATGTTGCATTTCTGACTTGCCATCTCGCAATTCTGAGAAATAATGTCAGAATTGCGAGAAGTAAACTCGCAATTGTGAGAAAAAAAGTCCGAATTGTGAGATAAAAAGTCGCAATTACCTTTTATATTTTTTGGTTCAGAAAGAACCAAAACATACGCATCAGTCTATGTGTTTTGCCAGCATATGATAATTCTTTGTACGAAGAAGCTAAAAGGAGAAATAAGGTTAAGCTTTTATATAACCGGGGTTCATGTTCTCTGCCTGATCCATATCACCTGAGTGAGAATTGGAGCAAAAGGCCGAACACATGGCCAGATTTGACAATCGACGACAGCTTACCTGTCTCATCGACTAGGATAACTGGTAACTGGTACCTCTGATATATAACATTGGTTAACATAAACGTAAAAATGTATCAAAGAAAATACAATAATTTGCCCTTCATTTATAAAGGTATGTACACAGACTATACATAGGACAGCAGCACCCAATCTTTGGGTTAACTTATGTCTTTATAATGCTGTGCGGCAAACGGCCATTACTTTTCTGCCAACCAGAGCGCATGTAACCGCGTTGTGACGTCACGGGCGAAGATCCCTATACAGATAAGTAAACTGTGTGAAAAATACTGTGTTTTTTCATGAACACATGTTATTTTGCACACTATAAACACAATCAAAGCTTCAAAAAAAAAACATGAAGAATGGGACCTTTAAGAGCACTTGTCCTGTACACAGCCTCATTTCAAAGATTTTCAGATATATTAATCACATAAAGCCTACTGTATCATATTTGATATGCAAAATAAATAAAGGTCATTAAATTATCAATATGATTAAAACATTGCTGGAAAAACATATTGCACAAAAAAAACTGTCCCTTACAAAACTAGAGAGATTTGTCATAAACTAAGCATTCAAATATCACCTCACTAAGACATTGAGCATCATTGTCAGTTCTGGCAGGCCAAGTAGTCAAGATGCTGCTAACACTATCGGTCGACTACACGGTCTCATCAGCGTTCTGGTCAGCTGATCTGCATCAGCGCATCTGCTGTTCATCTCCCCTCGCTGCTAATGACTACTATGCTCAAATCAGGGCGCCCTATTTAAGCAGATTCAGTTCGCTTCTAAGTGCTCGCTGCTCACTCTCTGCAGCCCACCTCCTCCTTGTCGTGTATAACATGTCAACGTCGCTGCTCTCTTCATATGGGGGAATAGTTCTGCTCTCCCAGTACTAAACATTGTCATGTTTTCATTATGACAGTTTACTCTGTAAGTGTTTGCCAATGCAAAAAAGTCAGATCTTGGTGACACTACCTGAAAATGCTCAAGACAGTCTTATAAACTATTTGCACAGCCATTTGAAAACTACAGTAAAGTTTCACATTACTGTATTTAGTGAGGTACAGTGATTGAGTACAAGACACTGAATATGTATGTTTCACATTTTTACTGCATGGTCTTTGCAATTCTAATTTGTTCAGACCATTGTCCAAACATAAACTCCCTTTGGGTAGATCGGTGCACAACTGTAAACAATATCACAGTACGTATTGGAACTGAACATATAACATACTGTAAATCACTCATGCACATCTCTTCTAATCAGTGAAAGCTGAGGTTCACCTGTGAGAAATTGTTCAATTTAGGATAAAAAAGGTTTTTTTTAAGATAAAAAATGTAAAATTTGCTTGACGGATTTTGACAACTAGTTTAACATTTTTGAATGTGATGACTCAAGCAATGAAATGAGGACTATTAGTTGTATATGGAATGACTATATTCAGCATTCACAAGTGTAGTTAATTTGGACTGATATGACATAAGCAAATGATAATGTTATAAAACAGCAGAGAGTTGTATGAAAGCAATTGATGCATGTCCAAAAGCATTTGCAATTTGTTGGAAGGAATGAGAAACTGCTACTACGATGTGCACAAATGACAAAATGTTGTTTAGGTTGAACTAACTGTTGTGCAAATGTAAATAGTGATGTGAGAAATGCACCAAAGCGACGGAGAAAAACTGTAACTTCAGTCTCACCATTTCTGCTGTTGTCTTTCCGAGTGGCTTGAAGCTCCAGGATACAGAGGTTCTTTCTTCAGAGAGCGGAAGGGTAGATTTAAATGTACATTTGAGCCGTACATTTGTCCCATTGACTGCCTCCAACTCTGAAGATGTAAACACTTCCATTCCCTTCACCTGATAAACACCTGGTAACCATGGATTCATGTGTTACTAAATATATAACTGACACTAACACAAATACAGCTACATGCAACAATATTTACATGCTCTAATCCTAAACTTGCCACTATAATGTCTCTTCATGACATTACTTCAACTTCATGACAGACAGACAGACAAATAGATAGATAGACAGACAGACAGACAGACAGACAGACAGACAGACAGACAGACAGACAGACAGATAGATAGATAGATAGATAGATAGATAGATAGATAGATAGATAGATAGATAGATAGATAGATAGATAGATAGATAGATAGATAGATAGATAGATAGATAGATTCAATGAGTTCAAGTAGTAGACACATGAGAGTAGAGTAGACACTTATCAGAACAATCCCAAATCAGATCAGTACAATTTGATTAACTAATTAATCACACAAATATGCAGCAAAATTGCATATCTATATAAAAAATGATTTTGGTTCAATCTTTATAAACGTTTTAACTTTTTAAACAGAACAGATCTTCAGTCCTTCCAGAAAACATTTTTTTTTACAGTGTGTTTGCAATAATTAATCCACCTCAACAGTATTCAGTCCCATGGGATATATTCTGCTCTAACTACCCTGAACTATTTGTTAAGCATTAAGGTAAAGCTTTCACGGGTCCTGCTGTGATCAGGGTGTTTAACTCTGCTTAAGCTGAGACTGTCGCCATTCCAACCATTAAATCCGTTTCACTAGGGGTCACTCTCTACTCACTGTGCAGAACTTGTACCCATAGTAGGCCATATAAATACATTTGATTTCAATAAGTCGAATAGAATATGTTGTGCATTCTATTACATTTAAGATTTAATATTTATTGTAAAAAAAAATATATAGCCTACAGCATTTCTTCCAGTTATTTCTACCTATCGTTAATCTTTCTTATTGGACCCCCTGTCCACTTCAAGCTGCTGTAATGCCAGCATTATCTCCCTGAGGATCAATCTAATCTCGCATAATCTTATTTTATCAACGACAGTACAGTGTAGCTAAATCTGATAAGCGTCTGATAAGTGCCGCAGAAACACAATAAAATAAGTCGTTGTTAAACGATAGTTGCTTTACTCTGAGACTGGGTGACCAGTTTCAAATTCACAAAAGAAGCAGGCAGAGAATCTAACTCCACAAATAATGACTTAAATACAAGCTAAACTGAATATTAAATACAATTAGGCTACTAAAACACATATTTATTGCGAAACCAGAGGTGGATCCAGGAAGTAGTTAAACTCACCTGACAAGACAAGCGCACATAGCGCAGAACACAGGTAAATCCAGATTCGACTCATAAGAAAAGCACTAGAGGAGCTATCAGAGCTCCTACAAATGATAGTTTTCTACTGTCTATTTATCAAGCACCTTACTGTATTTACTCTCAATATCCTATCTAACTATAGGTTGAACTTTGGAACAGCTGAGCACATCGGCCATGCTAACCGCTCGGCACTCGGTTAATATCCGTGAGTGAACAGGGAGGAGTTCATTTAAAAGGCGTCAACAAAAACCTGTAAGGAACTGAGTGCACAGACTACCTATGTTTCCCACAAGCAGCCCAGTAACCTTCCCTCTTTTGTGTGGGACTATCCAGTGCTTCTCAGAGGAAGTAGCATAACAATACTGGGTTTGAAAAATAAGAAAGCTGCAAAATGTGTATCTGTAAACATTTTCACATTTTTGTTTAAGTTTGTCACCGCTTTGTCTTTTCATGTCTGAGTTATTCATTGTACCCCTGCCTGAAATTGTAATTCTTATAATTCAATAAAGAATTTTCTTTTAATTTGTCTTTCTCTCACGCTGAGACAAGAGTTACAGTTGTCACCGGTTGTTAGCAATTTCTTAAACGAGAAAATATGATAATTCGCCCAACTCTACTTGTCATCTTGACTAAAATGTGCAGTCACAAAATCAGAATACCAAAAGCATAAAATCAGTTGTGACATTTAGTGTATCGACTCTGTTGCCATCTTGTGGAATAATGACAAAGTGCAGCTTGCCTTCGGGTTCAAGTGACGTCATTATGAAAATATACTTCAATTATTTTGGGACATAGCTACTGCCCATTTCATCTTGTAGTTTAGTCTTGCATCCATACAATCTTAAAAAGTGCACCGGAGACCCACCCGTGTTTCAATAGCGCTCTCTAGGCATTCACATCTGCAGATATTGAGTTGCCATGAGAACTGACATCTCTATCTTCTCATACAGATTACATTAACAGAAAATATTTGTTTTCATTTTGAATTAGATCATTTAATAGCAGAGATGTAAATGTTTATAAATATATATTGCTTATGCCTTGGGCGAGTATATTTGTTGAGATTTGTTTAAGATTGTGCTCCATAAAAAATGAGGAAACAGGAGAGGCAGAAAGCAACCATGTGTGCAACCTCTGACATAGCAAGTGTAAGTCACTTTGAATAAAAGCGTCAGCTAAATGAATAAATGTAAGTGTCATATACATTTATGTTTTGTGTCATGTTTGATATCAGGCTTTTATGGGCCAAATAAATTGAAAATAGAGCTTGCCCTTAAGGAGGGGGGGAGCAAACAAGCCAAAATATGTTTGATGTTGTTATAGCCTAATTATACAGCCAAAACACAAGACACAATTCTCATAGCTTGTAATGTAATAAAATGCACATAGAATTTGAAGCTTAAATTTTCATTTATAATAGGCTACATAAAGTAGCATTTCTACATAAGAGCCTACTGCTTTTCTCAAACCCCTTTTGTTTATTTGCACATTCCATGGCAATTGAGTTTGTTCAAAGGGTAGCCTAAAGTGGCCTTCTTTAAAGTCTGTTAAAACCTGTTCTTCAAAATTTGCAGTCACAATTGTAGTGGTTCATGTTGCTCATGGTTTTTGTGTGACATTTTAGAATTATTAAAATTATTTTCAGAATTAAACTGTTGCTTACATTAATAAGTTAAGCAAAACAACTTATTTATGTCTGAGATTCACTTTAGCATTGGTTAGCATTGGATTGTGGTAAAACAACAACATGGCATCCTTGTTTTCCTTAAAAGTACCAAAGATTGTCCTTTATTTTCCTTCCCTGAAGTTGGCAACCTCTTGCTCTTGTGATATAATAACATTTATTCCAGCCATAGATAGATCTCGCCTATATTTTCCCGTCACGATGAGGCGGGACAGCGCTGAATGGGAAGTGCGTGACGAACGGTGGCGTTAGGCGGAAGTGAGGCTTCCAGAAAGTGCGAGGGCGGTTGCGCAGGGAAGTGGGGAGGCGGTTGGTTGGATGCTATTCGGTTTACATAACCCAAACATTTACTGTGATTTCTTTAATAGACCTCGCGCTATATACCCACATAATTAAACCATTAAACATTATTATTGTGTGAACTAAGTCCGTTAAGGTTGCATTGCTGGAAAAAGCAGAGTCGAGGTGCGCGGCTGCAGAAACATTCATCTGCATCTTCTTCCCTGGACAGTCAGTTGCGGTGCTGCTAGGTGATTGAGGAAGCCCTGCCCTGCTGCACACACCCGCAGCTCGCTCACTCACTGCAGTCGGGATTTGCAAACACTAGCCAGGTTAGTCAAGAAGAGGCGTGCATGGAGATGGACGTGTGTGTGCGCGTGATGCCATCGGGAATGTTTTCCTTTTGTCCCGGCTGTTGATTCATTCTTCTTGGTTATATCAGCTAAACATTCCTGGGATCATCATCCCTGACCCTGCCAGTCATTAAAGCACATATATGGAGCGTTAGTCTTTACTGCACAACCTCTGCTGTGTGTTGGTTTCATCCGGGGTCCATCATCATCACCATCACCAACATCCTCATCACCCTTAGCACTAAAAAGCAAAACACGCGCTCTTTGTGCGGCGGTTGCTTGGCACGCGCGAAACTACCATTCAATGCTCTATATTTATCTCGGAGTGAATAGCTATTATTGACAGTTGTATTACCGTTGCGCAATTAGGACTCCGTTTGAACTAGTCAAGAATTGCATTCATTTCCATTACGTCAGCACGGCCGCTCATTAGTAGGCTATTGTTGTTTTGTAGCACCTGTGTTTGTGTCGTAGAGAATGAGCGCTGAGGAGAATCCCGCTGCTGAACCTGCACCTGTGATCGACGTGCAGGGAGACGGACGCTGGATGTCACAGGTGTGCTCTATTGTGAAAGTCTTCTGTAGGCATCGTGCATACTGTGCACAATCTTTTCCTCTTTCATAACACCTCCGTCTGATTAAGGATTGGCGTAACATGATCGGATTTATTTTGTTCTATGTTGTTGCAGCACAACCGGTTTGTGCAGGAGTGCAAGGATGCGGAGCCTGATGTTCTGTTTGTGGGGGACTCAATGGTGCAGCTTATGCAACAGCACGAGGTGATTGTTATCTCGTTCATAAGTCAATCCATAAAAAAGGAGAACTACGTGGTTGCAATTCCATACTAATGTAAATACTAATCACAATAGCAGAAGCTAGTAATTCAATATGGATTAAAAAAACCTAGTTCTGCTCACATAATATTCCTAAAAATACTAGACCTAGTACAGTGCTAGAGAGCTGAAATTTTTGTGCAAAATGTTTAAATGCACTAGACATGTAATGGTATTAAGTGGTTTTAAAGCTGAAATATAATACTTTTTTATGTTTAAAATTAGGAAAAAATTTAATATAAAACTAATGTATTTTTTATAAATATTTGAAAGCACTAAATGAAATTTTACGTGTTAAGATAACATGATAATTATCATTTTTAATCGAACAATTCTGGAATACTTAATTTCCTTTGGTCGTATATGGCATTCAGTGGTTAGATATTTTTGGATAATGACTGTTGTTGTAACTGTCATGTGGGGCTCCACAAATATTGGCACCCTTGGTAAAAATGAGCAAAACTGACTGTGAAAACGTGTTTTACCTGTGTATCCTTAGTCTTTCTTTTCAAAAATAATGAGTAACTGTAACAATGACTAATGAGTAACAATCTAACTGAATATTCCCATTCATATGATTTTTTTTTAAATGAACCTTAGGGACCAGGAACTATGGTCATCATGACTTCCTGTTTCACTGGATTCTAAATATGGTGTGAGTGTCACACAGGCCAAAGTCCTATAGTCATCCATCACTATGGAAAAGACCTGAGAATACAGTAATAACGTGACAAAGGGTTGTTGAGCTGCACAAATCATGAAATGCTTTAAAATAATAGTTTAATTGTTGGAAAACTCATTTACATTATCTGGGCAATAATTAAGATGTTTAAATCAACTGGAGATTGTAACCATCTTGGCATGTCTGTATTGGCTCCACACACACTGATATGAGGAGGGTGGTTTGAGTTGCCAAACAAACTGTAAGGATCAAAGTTGTCGAACTGCTGATGCTAGTCGTGTCTTGGGATCAGAAAATCTCCGAAACTAGGATCAAACCTCACCTATATAACTACAACTTGTTTGGAAGGGTCGCAATAAAAAAGCTGTTGGTGACATCAAACAGCAATCTCCTTCAAATGCAGTTTGCCAGGTGTTACTGGAAAATTCAGTGGAACTGGGTTTTAAAGTCAGATGAGACCAAAAAGCCAGAGGTGGTTTGGGCATAGACAGAAACATAGAAATCTACCTCATCTTTAATGCTGTGAGGCTAATTTTATTCCAAAGTCCCTGGACAACTTGTTAGGATACACAGTTTCATAAACTCCATAAAATCAACACCTGGTTGGATCTTCCAGCCAACGAGTGATCCATATGTCAAAATAAACAACAGAATAGTTAATTGGCCACAGAATGAAGGTTTTGCAGTCCAACTCAATAAAACCATGTGGGGTGAGCTGAAGAAAAGAGTCCACAAGCATGGACCTCTGAATCTGAATGATCTGGAGAGATTGTGTATGGAGGAATGATCTCAGATCTTTTGCCATATGTTCATCAACCTTATTACGCATTGTAGGAGCAGATCCAGAGCTGTTATCTGGGCAAAGGGAGGCTGCACAAAGCTGTAAATAAAATTATTGGGATGCCAATAATTGTTAATACTTATATTTTAGGGGGGAATTGTTTTATGATAAGATTTTCTTTAACTACTGTATTTGAATGAAAGAAATAGCAAAAACTAATTTTCAGTCACTTTTGCTCATTTATCAAAGGTACCAAATATTTTTGGAGCCCACGGTATCCTTCAGAGTAACAACATTAGTCTCTAAGCTGCTAGTAAAATAATTGAAATGCGCATGTCATTTTTGTTTATTTATTAGTAATTATCCATGTCTAATAGTATAGTATTGCAATAATGACACTTAAAGGCTATTTTAAAATGAAAAAGGTATGACTCTTTTTTGTACACTTGATTGTGTCTGTTGTTAATAATCAACATTTATAGTTGTTGTTTTTTTTCAGTAGATGTACATATTTACATTTGGTTTGCAATTTTTTATTGGTTCTGGTTTCAGGTGTGGAGGGAACTCTTCTCGCCTCTCCATGCTCTGAGCTTTGGGATTGGTGGAGACA